CGGGTACCTTGGCGTGATCTGCAAGAAACATAGTCATTCACCAATGGCCATGGCTCTATCTGACTGATGACCACCAGACCAAAGGAATTAAGCTCGACCCTCAAATGGTTACATGATAAATGAAATTGGGATACAACCATTGCAAGGTTCAAGCGCCAAAACTGGTAGATTCAGATTTTATATCGCCAAAGATGGCCGTAGCAATTAGTATTCCCATGGTGCCCATCTTGTTCCCATAGCCACCTTGGTCATTGCCACATATCGCAAGCCATGCTACAGGACATGTTTCTAGTCCTGGTGGGCTTAGTGGATATGGCCACCAGCACCCTCATGGAACAGGGTGAGAGCGTTCTGCAACGTCTCATCCGGGCTTTGAAGGCCTTCCGCTCCTTCCGCATGATCCGAGTCCCGGCCTGGTGGCATTTTACCAATTCCGTCCCCAATCACCCCCGGGATTATGTTTGTGCATGGCCAGCCTGGAGTAGATAACATAGAGAACATGTTAATATCATCAAAACGGCACTGCTTTGGAAGAAATCCACGATCATTCTTTAATTCTTGTTGCACTTGACATTGATATCGAAGCAGGACAGCCATGCCGTCCCTTCTTGCAAACCAAGGAAGTTTTCGACTTTTCAAGGGCCTGCGCATTCTTGCAAGAGCTTGTCACTTTAATTTGGCGCAAGTAGGGTGAGACTTTTTGTTGCAGTGTTGATGTTTTGGTTGCCCTTCCCAGCGATTAATTATATACATCTTGAATGTACCTTCTGTAATTACCGTGCCTTGACTGCTTGGCTGCTGGAATTCAAGTTGTGATGATATGCGATCGATGACGGATAGTTTTAGCCAATGGACTCCCAAGCAGGTGGGCATAATCGACAATTGTCATCCATTGTTACGAGGGTAGGAGCTACCCGTGGTTTGGAGCTGGTTGGTATGTCGAATGCGGCACATTCATTGGTTTGGATTAAGGGAAAATCTACAGGAAACTGTAGATCTTCCCTTCAACCAATCCATTGACACATGATTGCCGTCATTGTTTGCTACTGGATTGCGAGTTGCAACCCCCCTAGCTTCCTGCAGTGTGTTGCACCCATAACCGTGGCCTTTTGCTCGCCAGAAACATCAAAATTGTGTTCCAGGCTTTCCAGGAAATACCCTAGGGCCTAGGGTAACCTGACATAGATGTGGAAAATCAGTTGTTCTCCTAGACAATGATCTACGAACGGTGGGTTCTCCAGATCTACGTTTGTTTACCAGAGGGTATGCACTTAAATCACTTGAGATACTTGAGACATCGGAATGCAACTCATCCCCAATCCCCAACCAACTTCCGTGCCCGTAGTCAATCAATAGTTGCGCTGGTGTATTCTCGCAAGGAAAGTAAAATGGCGTCGCGAAAGGTCGCGAAAGCTCATGTTATGTTGTCTTTTTTTCTTCATGACATGTGTGAGCCTTTGTTCGTGAATCTTTGGACTAACAGGAAGTTATATATGTCATATTTGAAATTGGCAGGGGGACCCGAATTTCCCGAAAGATCCGTCAAAGATCCGCGAAAGATGCAATGGGCCAAGGTCCACCAGACCTGCAAAGTCTGCATAATTATGTCACACTCTTATGGTGAAAATCCTTCACTATCCCTCTTCTGTTCCTCTACTGTATTCATGTCGTTCTTCCTTTCCTTGTCCTTTCTTCTTCCTTTCTTCTTCCTTTCTTCTTCCTTTCTTCTTCCTTATCTTTCCTCTCTTGTGTCCTTCATTTTCCATCATTTTCCTTTCTTCTTCCTTTATTCTTCCTTTATTTTTCCTTTTTTCTTCCTTTCTTCTTCCTTTCCTCTTCCTTTCTTCTTCCTTTCTTCTTCCTTTCTTCTTCCATTTCTCTTCCTTTCTTCTTCCTTTTTTCTTCCTTTCCTCTTCCTTTATTCTTCATTTTCTTTCCTCTCTCAAGTCCTTCATTTTTCTTTTTTTCCCTTTCCTCTTCCTTTCTTCTTCCTTTCCTCTTCCTTTCTTCTTCCTCTCTTCTTCCTTTTCTCTTCCTTTCTTCTTCCTTTCCTCTTCCTTTCTTCCTTTCCCTTTCCTTTCTTCCTTTCCTCTTCCTTTATTCTTCCTTTCCTTTCCTCTTCCTTTCTTCTTCATTTCTTCTTCCTTTCTTCCTCTCGTCTTCCTTTTATCTTCCTTTCTTCTTCCTTTCCTCTTCCTTTCTTCCTTTCCTTTTCCTTTCTCCCTTTCCTCTGCCTTTATTCTTCCTTTCTTCTTCCTTTTCTTTCCTCTCTTATGTCCTTCATTTTCCTTTCTTCTTAGTCTTCCTTTCCTCTTCCTTTCCTCTTCCTTTATTCCTTTCTTCTTCCTTGCTTCTTCCTTTCTTCTTCCTTTCTTCTTCCCTTCTTCTCCCTTTCTTCTTCCGTTTTTCTTCCTTTCTTTTGTCCCTTCTTTCCTCTCTTATGTCCTTCATGTTCCTTTCCTTTCCGTGTTTTTCCTCCTGTTCTTTTCCTTTCTTCTTTCCACCTCCTTTCCTCTTCCTCTCCTTCTCCTCTCTTGTTTCCATTTCCTCTCTTCTTTCCCCCCGAATGAGGTGTGTGCAGAGACGGTGGGCAAAGACATTACCAATGCCAGACATAATCCTTCTTATGTGGCTGCAGGTTTTTGCCTTTCACCGCGAAAGGTCCGCGAAAGAGGTTGTCTTAACATGTGATCCGGGAAAGCCACCGTCGTGGATGCGAAGGACAGGTGTATTCTTAACAGATCTTTTATAGCCACAAGTCGGTAAAATTGGCTATTCCACTTCTTTACCTAGCGTGTTTAAACCCCCTTGAACCACCCTGGTATCTGGGGTGTTGGGAGCAACCCTGAATGATATGGAGAAAGTCTTGAAAAACTGGAGGTCAATGTTTCCTGTCCTCTTTATTCTGGTCGATGGTGATGCTCGTGATCTTCATGATGATGGGCGCGTTGCTGATGGGCAACCTGGTACAAGGATATTTGGAGGAGCGGACAGGGCACTGGGAGAGGGGCTGGAAACCCGCTTTCAATCCATGATGACTTTCATTTCCATGCGGAGCTATGGCTCTTTCGTTTGAAAATTGAATACTGGATTTTGACCACTTCCCCCCGTTCAATTTACAATGGGGTACTGGGCATGCCCATGTCTGGATTACAAACCTGTATTTACAGTTTTTCGATTTTTGATCCCGACTAGCCTTCACGACTCTTCCATACCCTTCCGCGGTGCAGGACTCAGATGTGGATTCGGTGGACAAAGAGTGGGTGTGGATGCACTACGGCACTGCAACTTCGACTGGTAAAACGCCTTTGAGTCAGGACACGTGATGGTCACAGGATATCGTAGGTCCGTAGGTAAAGCACGTGTCATCGTATCGTATTCCATGTGCATGTGTTAACGGAGACGCGTCTGGATTTGCAAATGATATTCACTCATTGATTTCAGACTGGATGATCATATGTGAGGGTGAAGTTAAATGAAGTAAATGCGTATCCCCCACTATTTTCTTTATACGTGATATTCCTCCTATGGTTCCAGGACTATTCTACCCCCTTCTCCCCACATGTTTTTTAGACTTGATTTTTTTCTTGACGGTTGGCCTGGTCCCATCCCCCCACAATCTTCTTTTCAAATTATAAGGGATATTCTTCTAACATGGTTGTGTCTGATGGGGCCGGATAGGGCCGTATCCCCGCACAATCTTCTTTATCCATGATATTTTTCCCGTGGTTCCATGGCTGTTCCCTCCCAAAACCTAGAAAATTGAACTGGTAGCGTCTGCTTCAGGGGCGTAGGTGATGTGTCTTTGGGGGGTGCATATCGTTGGAGCAAAGACTTAAAAGGTTCATGCAGAAACCTCTGCATGAGAGGTCCTATAGTTGAAAATGTCTTGCAAACCATGGAAAGCAATATTGTGAACTACTTTAAAGCCATAAGCTGATTTGATGGTGAAGCTGAAAGGTGCTGTTGTTTTTCGCAGCTATTTGGGATTGTACAGCAACCTCGCATGCATTGTTTTGTTTTAGTATTCGTCGGATGTGAATCCAGGGGCTTTCAAAAGGGCTAGAGATGCTCCCAAAAGGCCTAGAGTACGCACTTCTGACCACAGAACTTGCTGCCAAAACCTGTCATGACACAGGCTCTGGAAACCAGAGACTGCGCTTGAGAAGGAATCTTTCACATGTGTCCTGATTTTACCAGATGAAATGATCGATAGCCAAGTCAATAACGTAGCGATAACCCAAACTTGCTCAAAGGGCCCCGGGGCAACCAGAGACCCGGACCCAATCCATCCCTGGAGTGGCGCATTTCAATTTTGCGTCAACCCAGCCTGGCCTTGAAACCTACCGTTGAGAGATGATCAAATTTGCAGATGCAGAAGGCGCAGCAGTGCAAAAATCAAGCTTTTCTGAGGGAATTCCCTCCGCACATTGAAGACAAACAGTGGACAGCAGACTGCTGACCATGAAGTGCCTCTTTTGTCGATATGGAGATGAGTGGAAATGGATCTCCAAATCAATAGCCGTTGTTTGACATGCTACAAAACATTGCAAAGCCATGTAAAGCGATATAGCGAACAGTAGCGAACTATATACCTAAAACGGTAACTTTTCCTCATGGCCGTCTTTGTGGCCCTTAGTTTTGGTCCCTGCTCATTTGAAGGCAGCTTAATGTGTTGGGGCGGAGATGATGTGTTTTTAGGGGCACAGGTGACGGGTGAATGCTCATGTCTGATGCTGAAAAACGCGCCAAGCAAGGCATACAATGCTTTCTACACCTTCTTCGAGATAACTTTGTCAGGTGCCGTTTTGGGGTTTAGGGTTTATGGGTGCCGTCTCGACTTTGCATGCTTCTTCGAGAGAACTTTGTCAGGCAGTTGGCCTGCAAAAGTGCGGCCATTGCTATTGAAAGTGAGCCAGGGCTTGTTTGTATTCTTCGCTTTGCATCTTGGCGATGTAAGCGGCAGATTCCTGCATCAGAAGACTGAGATACCGCATCCCCAAGCATAAAGGGAATGCTAACATAACACAACACCCCTCTGAAAAATCAGGGCTGGATATGGTTAGACCACCTTGATCTCCATCCTCGACCATGGCTGTGCGCAGCCACAAGCTGCATATCCTGCCTGAAGAAATCATGATCATTGGGGGTGATAAATCATGATGGATCCAACTTGTGTTTTGTCACGTTGTGGTCATATATTGGTATTGCAGTTGTGCAAACTGCATTTCCTTCGGTTCGTGCACCTAAGCATTGGCCGGAGGTATATCACAATCATCGTTTTTGCGGTGATTCGTGTCATCGGCGCCATTTTTCTCCGCGACACGCTCGATGCGGCACAGAACGATGCCGAGCACTTGGTTGCTGAAAGATGCTTGGCTGTATTCATGTCGTCGCTAGAATGTAGCATATATACGTATTTACATAAGAAATGCACAATCATGTTTATGTATGATTTATAAGTACTGAATAGCTAGTTCTCAATCTCTCTTTTCATAACAGGTAGGTTCAATCCTTTCATCACCATTACAGATGCAATTACTTGTGGTCTGGCAAGTATGTTGACTTAGTTACATATTTTGACATTTTTGTGTTTGTCATATATTCTAACATCTTTTTCGCCATGTATTTGGCATTTTACTTGACATCTTAGCAACCTGACACGTGATCTGGCATCTTTTCTGGCATTTTTTTGGACATTCTATCCGTCATTCTATCTGACATATTGTACATTCGGGCTTTTACCTGGCATTTTTTATCTGACATATATTCTGAAATTCTATGTGCCATTTTATCGTGTATTTTTTCTGACTTTTCGCCTGACATAATTCTGACATTTTGTTTGGCATGTTATGTGGCATATTTTGGCATACATTCTGACAATTCCTGACATATTCTGAATAAACTGTATATAGAGAATCCTAAGCTGTACTTGATCGCCCCCCAAAAAAAAACATCACATTTTTTAAAAATCTTATCCACCAAATAGCAGCTGCCACCCATATAGTTTGGAGCCCCAACATGATCATATCAACCGCAAAACCGGGGGTCCTTGCGCATTGTTTTGATGGAAAGGATTGTGCTAGTAGAGTTCGTATGGAACAAGTGTGCTCAATATTCCCGAGACATCCCAAAGCATGTTATCCAACTACCTAGCTGCTTCCATTTGGGACTGTCAAACTAAACTTGTGGGACGCGCTGAAAGGTCCCCCTGTGAAGAGTACGGAATGAGAATGGCCCGGTGGATTGCTCGAAACAACATTTGGTAATCCGATAAAGGAACTGCGAAAGCGACATGATGAACGTTTTAAAAGGGCCTATCAACATCAGACTATGCATAATTATATGCATAGCTAAGTTTAACTAAGTAATATTAAGTAACTATGAGCTCCTCATCTTGAACGCAGGAGGCACTGATTTGCCAACTCTTCAGCCTGAGTGAATGTTGCCAAGAGATTTGAGGACCCCAAGCCCCCCTGCAGTCATCCAAGCAAGTTGCTGGCCCCAGGATTGAAAAAGAAGGCACAAGATGTCGCCAAACTGGAACAAGTCTTCAGAGACATTGATGTGGCCGTGGATGTGCTTAGTACGCACGTTTTGTTGATGCTGTTGAATCTGTTTTCTTCCACCCCGAAATTCTCACACAGATTAAAGTTGAGTGGCTTCAGGGTTTTGAGGCTTAGTCAATTTCTTTTGGGGAGTTGACTTGTTCCCGACGGTGTAGCAAGGGTTCCGGTTTCACTCTGGGGGGTTGGGGGTTGAGGGTGTGTTCGCTCGACGTTGCGTTTACGTTTGCAACTGTTCGCAATCGTTCGCAACCGTTCGCAAGTGTCTGTGTCAGGTCCATATGGCCGTGCCTGCGGCGAGTTCTTGGAGCTTTCAAACGTCCCGTAGCTTCGTTTCGCGTGGCAGGTGTGGCACTTTGTGACACTCAGACATGTTTCACAACGATTCACAACGTGTCCAAAATCGTTTTGGTGTGGCAGGCGCAATAAATACTTTTGCGACGTTTTCACACGATGAGTTGCATTTTTCGTGGCAGGCGCAGCACTTTGGAGACCATCATCGTCATTTCGCATGGCAAGTGCAGCACTTCAGACGTGTCTTGTGGCTCGTTTTTTGCGAATCGCATTGTCAGGGCTGCGTCAAGTGGTGAGATGTGCTGAAAATTGACGGAAGCCCTCCACGAAACATTGATTTTGAGGTCGCAAATTCTGAGCCGTGGGAAAACGTCGATTTTGAAGCTACGAAGTGTGAACATTTTATTTTGAGGAAGTCTCGCACGAAATGCTCGCATTGAGCCTCCAACATGTCTCGTCTCGATTCTCTGGTTTTCTTGTGGCCTCGCCGTGTCTATAGGGAAAGCTGCAAAACCATGCAAAACCTTTCCTTTTCGAAGGTGTCAAAGCGGGTTGTAATGTTGTTTTGCGTGGCAGCCGTGGCACTTCGTGATATTCTCGCACGTGTGTAAAAGTGTCGAAAGTCGTTTCGTATGGCAGGAGCGGCGCCGTTGTCAGAAGATGAGTTGCTTTTTTCCGTGGGGAGCGCAGCACTTTGAAGGTGTGCTGCTGCGTGTTTTGTACAAATCGCAATGTCAGAGCTGCGTCAAGTGGTGACAACCTGCAAATCGTGTGGCAGGCGTGGCATGTTGTAATATGCGATGACACTTTATACTTTATACTCCACACTCCACACTCTACACTTCACATTCCACACTTTACACTTTACACTCCAAACTTCACACTCCACACTCTACACTCCACACTTTTCAATCCACACTCTATACTTCACACTTTACACTCTACACTTTGCACTTTATACTCCACACTCCATACGCCAGACTTTACACTTTACACTTACACTCCACACTTTACACTTTATACTCCACACTCCAGACCCGGTCGTTAGAGGGATGGTGGAGGTTGTTGTTAATTTGAGTGGTGGTGTTGTTGTAGGGGGGGTTGTTGTTGATTGGGGGGGTGGGGCTGTTTTTGTTTGGGGGAGGGGTTGTTGTTAATTGGGGGGTTGTTGTTCATTGGGCGAGTTGTTCTGGGGGGTGGCTGTTCTTAAATGTGAAGGGGGGCGCCCCCATTAAACAACAACCCCCTATTGAACAACACCTCCCCCCCAATCGAACAAACCCCCCTTCCAACTTGTTGTTCTTCCGCCCCCGGGGGGGGGTGTGGCCCAGGGCCTTGCAAACAACAACCCCCCACCCCCGCTACTAACAATAACCCCCCACCCCTATTAACAACAACCCCCTCGACCCGCTCTCCTATACACTCCACACTTTCCACTCCACACTCTACACTCCACACTTTACACTTTACACTCTGCTCTCTACACTTTACACTCCACACTGCGCACTTTACGCTTTACAATCCACGCTTTACACTTTTCACTTTAAACTCCACACTCCACGCTTTACACTCCACACTCTACACTCCACACTTTACACTTTACACTCCACACTCTACACTCCACACTTTACACTCCACACTTTACGCTCCACACTCCAGACTCCACACTTTACACTTTACACTCCACACTCTACACTACACACTTTACACTCCATCGTTTGCACTTCACACTCCACACTCTACACTCCACACTTTACACTCCACACTCTACACTCCACGCTTTACACTCCACACTCTACACTCCACACTTTACACTTTACACTCCACACTTTACGCTCCACACTCCACACTCCACACTTTACACTTTACACTCCACACTCTACACTACACACTTTACACTCCACACTCCACACTTTACACTCCAAACTCTACACTCCACACTTCACACTTTACACTCTACACTTTGAACTTTACACTCCACACTCCACACTCCACACTTTATACTCCACACTCAATACTTCACATTTCACACTTTACACTCTACACTTTGCACTCCACACTCTACACTCCACACTTTATACTCCACACTCCACACTTCACACTTTACACTCTACACTGCAAACTTTACACTTTACACTCCACACTCTACACTCCACACTTTATACTCCACACTCCACACTTTACAATCCACGCTTTACACTCCACAGTCTACACTCCACACTTTTCAATCCACACTCAAAACTTCACACTTTACACTCTACACTTTGCACTTTATACTCCACACTCCACACTTTACACTCCACGCTTTACACTCCACACTCTAGACTCCAGACTCCACACTTTACACTCGACACTCTACACTCCCCACTTTACACTCCACACTTTACGCTTTACACTCTGCACTTTACAGGTCACACTCTACACTCCACACTCTGCACTCCACACTTTACACCACACTCTGCACTTTGCACTCCGCACTTTGCACTCCACCCTCTTCCGGATTCCACAGTCTACAGTGCACTGGTACGGTAACAGGGGGAAAAATGCACAAGACTCTTCAAATCACTTGTTGCACAAAAGTGTCTTACGTGACTGCATTTGGGTTCGTGTGCTGCACCTGTTTTTTCAAGCATAGTAGTTTGATGAAGGTTCATATAATATTCCTGGGACAGCCGAAAAGATTCATTCATCCCTTTCTACACTGGAAACTCCCCTGAGATTGGTTGGTGACATGAACAAATCCAACACAAAAACATCACAAAGCAATTCTGCGTTTCCCCGTGTTTCCCATTGCCGGGGCGAGGAGTCAGAGGACGGCATCATCACCGAAAAGGTCCTGAGCCGTGTGTTGTCAAATCCCAAGTGCCAAGCCTATTTTCAAACCCTCGACTTGGACGTGAATGAAGGCGCGCCGAACAAAAAATGGGGGCAAGTGATGGAAAGTGACATGATGAAGGCCTTAGAAGAATCGTCCAAAAAACCGTAACTGGTCACGAGTCCTGATCAATATATACGTCCCCTAAGTGGGTGATCCCACATATCAAAGGATCAAGATTTAGAACTATGGGGGTACTGGTCGGTTTCTAAGTTTGATGATCCTCCAAGTCTGGTATCCTATATCAAGGTCCATGTTTGTTTGATTTGATTTTTCGGGCAGAAGGTCTTTGCGGCACTTGTGGTTTTCGCAGATTCCCCCTGCAGATGCTTTACCCACAGTACATACAGATAAGTGGTGAACATGTATTGGATGTTGGATTGATTCCATCATCCACCGGCAAGATTGGCGTGAATTTGGAAAAAGCATGACGAAGCCATATATATATACTGTGTTGCTATTTTGGGAGATTGCCAAGGTTATTCCGCCCTTTTCGACTTTCCAGCCTCAGAAAAAGCGATGCTTTCATTGTCGGTTTCTGATTTGGGTTTCTTGGAAATACTTTCCCCCCGAAACCCCGTCACTGATGAGATGACTCTTTGATGACTTTCCTATCAAAAGGTCCCAAGTACTGAATATACTTGGACAAGATAGCAAATAGCATCATATGTTTTTTTGGAAAAAACACCCACGCGCAAATTGGTATCCCAGTCACCTTCGGATGAAGGATCAGGGTCGCAAATTGAGCTGTGAAAATGACAAGCTTCAGCGGTTCCTTTGTTTGCTTGTTCTTCTGCTTGATACCTACTTCCTTGAAAAACCGTTTCTACATGTCATCAAAAAGATTGCGGTGAGACCAAGTAAGGTACAACAACCACGGAAGTACACACTGCATGTTCTGACCTCTATTCCTGAGTCGCCTTCGATGTCAGGGACACGAACAAGTGCCACTGACCTGATTTACCTAAACAGCCTGACTGCAACAGCTTGATTAACAGTTTCAAGAGCAGGTACGTCAGAAAGGCATCCCTTTCCAATATCACAGATCAAGGCAAGCGTCTTTGTTAGTGCCAGACTTGCAATGATCCCTGGCACCCCCTGCATGCTCGAAAACTGAAAGCATCCCAACTGCATGGGAACACCGGAAGTATCTCTGAAGTCGTTATCTTTCGGACTTCTCCACGAGAACCACAATGCACAATATCTTACGCTTTTGCGCGCTCATCATCTTCTTGACTTCACCACCTCATGATCTACATTATTTATATATATATATATATATATTGTATACATGTTGAATGCGCAGATATTCTTGAAAACTGATCAAATTTCTTGGAAATGCGCGACGCTGGAATGCAAACCTCCACTGGCAAAACATGCTTCTCTGAAAACATCGTTCTCTTTGATACCTTCGCCATCTTCTTTGTTCATTGCCGTCGTCAAACTCTATTGTCTGATTCTAGCATGCTGGATGGTTGTTAGAAAACACACAAACACACAGACAGACAGACACACAGACACAGACTCAGACACAGACACACACACACACATTCCATCTTGTTTGTTATATTCCGACCCATTTTATTTCCGACATTTTGCTGCCTTCAACCCGCCTTTTTTCTGGGCTCCAGCTGAGGCAGCGCCTTGTTCCGTCTGTTAGATCAAGGAGATGGGGAAGTGACTTTAGATGAGCGCTTCGGTTGACCCCCTCAGCCTGGTCGCTTGGGTATTTTTGTGCGGGGAAGACCGTCCGGCAATCAGTAGAAACATGGTGGAATCATGGCTAATAACATGATCTGGGGATCGATTGGGGATAAGAGATGGATAGATATGATCTGTATACAGATATATATATATATATATACATACGCGACTTACCAAGCATCTTGATTGTAATGACTATACATGTTTTTGGTGCCGGGCATCTGAGCCGGCCCCCGCTGTTGTTACTTTTGACATTACACTAAAAACAACATCATAGACGAGGGGGGTGGGGGGGGGGGGGGGGTGGGGTGGGGTGGGATAATAGCGTCATTTGCTGTACGTTATACGTCATGCTACGCAGCTGTACGTTCTCATGCACTTGCACACATACGTCATGCTACGCTGCTGTACGTTCTCATGCACTTGCACACATACGTCATGCTACGCTGCTGTACGTTTTCATGCACTTGCACACATACGTCATGCTACGCTGCTGTACGTTCTCATGCACTTGCACACATACGTCATGCTACGCTGCTGTACGTTCTCATGCACTTGCACACATACGTCATGCTACGCTGCTGTACGTTCTCATGCACTTGCGCACATACGTCATGCTACGCTGCTGTACGTTCTCATGCACTTGCACACATACGTCATGGTACGCTGCTGTACGTTCTCATGCACTTGCACACATACGTCATGCTATGCTGCTGCACGTTCTCATGCACTTGCAGATCGTAGGGCGGGTGTTAGGTGGATGGTTATGGATATGTAAATGATGATGACGATGGTGATGATGATGATGATGATGGTGATGAAATTGCTCCTGATGCTAAGGTTTCGTTTTTCAGCGTTTTGCTGTCCCCCCTGTAAAATGTTTGAAAAGTGACAACAGCAGGGGCCGGCTCTGATGCCCGGCACCATGTTTTTGCCTCATATGTATTATTTGCCCTTCGGTGATCAAATGGGGCTGGCTGGAAATTCCCCAACTGAATGGAGGTTTCATCACTTGTCAATGGTAAAAACATCGAACTAAATGGTGTATTTTCCATTGTTATGTTTCATTGCCGAATTGTAATTATGATAATGATCGAATGGCAGCACGGCAGTTTCTTTCTGATGATACAAGAGTAATAGTATGGGCAGACACCGGCGTTTGCCCATATAGACAATGTGGTGTTTGCGTGCATGTGTAAACATGTGTATATATATAGGTATGTTATTATGGTATGTTCTCCTATATCCACATGTGATGTGGTAGGATGCGCAGCTGTCGAGACACTGAAGGGGTTCTGCACACGGGCACCATGACACTTGTTACTTGTTACGATGATAGACGCTTGCAATCCTAGAACATATATGTCTACTTCTCACCATTTAGGGTGGGGGGGAGTTCGGGGGAACACCATGACATCTCTATCAAGCACGTCATGTTACGCTACGGATGTGAGTCTTAGACCAATGATCATTGCTGCAGGTCCTCAGCGATTACAATGATAGACTTCCTACAATCCTTGAACATATATCTACTTCTCACCATTTAGGGTGGGGGTTCGGGGGATGATGATGATGATGAGGATGAGGATGAGGATGAGGATGAGGAGAGGGAAGCCGGTTCGGGACACAGGCAAACGATGGCGTTTGGCTGCAATAATAGTAGTTATGATTTGCCCAGATGGAATGGAATAAATTGAAAGCTATTGGGCGTGAATGCTACATTTGAAACAAGATCAGACCAGATAGGTGACAAGACAAGAACAGATAGATATGATGGATCCCACGCCAGTGGAAGCTCGTTGCCAATTTGCTGCAGAGGGCAACTTTGAAGATGTATATATATATATATATCTCTCTCTCTCTCTCTCTTTCTCTCTCTCCATGTCCAAAATTGCGTGGAAGTCTCCATGCTCTGTCCCAAGCATGGCTCTGTGATTCGCCCTTCGGTCCACAGACGTGGCAATGAAAAGTCACCAGGTTAAGGTGATCTACCTGACTAGCGATGACTACAACTGACCAATTTTCCATTGCCAGGTCAGGTAACAACTCAGCGTACCCTTCCTTCACTCCACTGAGGTTTATTCAAGGCATCATGCGTTGTCGCGGGCCAGCGCGAGCCATTGACCAAGTGGCCTTACATGCAGAGATGACCCTTGCTGGCAGATAGGGTGCATGCTTGTGGTCCGGCCAAGAACTGTGGTTTCGTGTGGAGTTGCATTTACAGTCTTGGTGTACCTGTTGGCTATTCCAATTCAACCTCCCTGGCAAATTTTGAGGAGTTTTGAAAAGACGAGAGACCCGAGGAATCTGGTTTCATACCTGGCACTTTCAATTAATCTTTCGTCTTGATTTGTGTGTACACCCCCCTCAAACAATAGCTGTGCCCTCTTTAAGTTGGGTGTCAACAAACTCCTCCCCAGAAGGGAAAAAAAACAGCATTTAAGCAAGGGTTTCAATTGGCGACAATTGAAATCTAATTATTTTTTTTTGCCGATGAACTTGTCATATTTGTAGTGTTTTTTTCCCCACCTGCCAGGTGAGGGTTGTTAGATTTTATCAGAGCTGTTCTCCTCCTCCTCCTCCTCCGCCTCCTCCTCGCAGTCCAGATCCCAGTGGGCACTGCCGGACCTCAACCGCGAGTTGCAGATCCCAGTGGGCACTGCCGGACCTCAACTGCGACTTCCAGATCGCAGTGGGCACTGCCGGACCTCAACCGCGACTTCCAGATCGCAGTGGGCACTGCCGGACCTCAACCGCGACTTCCACATCGCAGTGGGCACTGCCGGACCTCAACCGCGACTTCCACATCGCAGTGGGCACTGCCGGACCTCAACCGCGACTTCCAGATCGCATTGGGCACTGCCGGACCTCAACGGGAAGAATGTCAGAAAAGATGCCAGATAGAATGTCAGAAGATATGCCAGATAGAATGCCAGAAGATATGCCAGATAGAATGCCAGAAAGAATGTCTGAAAGAATGTCAGAAGATATGCCAGACAGAATGTCAGAAGATATGCCAGAAAGAATGTCAGAAGATATGTCAGATAGAATATCAGAAGATATGCCAGATAGAATGCCAGAAAAAATGCCAGAAGATATGCCAGATAGAATGTCAGATAGAATGCCAGAAAATATGCCAGATAGAATGCCAGAAGATTTGCCAGATAGAATGCCAGAAGATATGCCAGAACATATGCCAGAAGATATGCCTGATAGAATGCCAGAAGATATGTCAGATAGAATGCCAGAAGATTTGCCAGTAAGAAAATGTATAAAGTATAAATGTCATGGTGGGGATCATTCGAAGTGAAGTAATTTCAATATTTGTAGTACCTTGTAGTGAGTGGGGTTCAGCATGTTGATTGCATTACCTTTTCCACCTTAAGTTTCCCTATTCAAAGTGTAATAGGAGAAAGAAAAAGAGAAAGGGAAAGGGAAAGAGAGAAAGAAAAAGAGAAAGAGAAAGTAAAAGAGAAAGAGAAAGAGAAAGAGACAGAGAGAGAGAGAGAAAGAGGGAGACAGGAAGAAGAGGGAGAGGAAGAGGAAGAGTAAGATGAAGAGGAAGAGAGACAGGAAGAAGAAGAGGAAGAGAGACAGGAAGAAGAAGAGAAAGAGGAAGAGGAAGAGGAAGAGGAAGAGGAACAGAGAGAGAGGTAGAGGAAGAGGAAGAGGAATATTAAAAAAAAAACTGTAAAATGATTTTTTCTTCTCTTGGCTCCAGGATCAGCTCTGGAAAAGTTTGCTGCAATTGTGAGCCCTGAGAACAAACCTACTAAAGTGAACTGGACCCTCTCATGGCCCAGTGCCTCGGAAATTTGTGGAAAAAGTTGTTCTTTAATAGGTCTGTCTTTTTTTTTGAAAGGTTTGGACTTTGAACTTGGCAATTGCTTTTGTAAAAGGTTTTTTTTCTTCTACTTCTTTTGGATCCAGGATCAGCTCTAGAAAAGTTTGCTGCAATTGTGAATCCTGAAACCTACTAAAGTGAACTGAACCCTCTCTTGGCCCAGGGCCTTGGAAATTTCTGGAAAATTGTTCTTTAATAAGGGTTTAATAGGCGGTCTGATTCTTTTGGGACAGGGAAACAAACAATATTTTTTTTTCAGAAAAAAATGTTCCGATTTTTTGACACGAACATTTTTTTGGACAAAAACATGGTCTCCCAAAAATTCTTGCCACAATAGTGAACCTTCCAAACATTGCTGGAACCCTGAATAATTTGGAACATCTTGGCCACAATAGCGAACCTAGACACTAATCAGGATACAACATTAACTAGGTCGGTTCAAAGAAAGACGTACGTCAGAAACATTCGGTAACCATCAATCAAGAAACCATGTTTTTTATTGTGCTGCTATACTAGCATCTACCGGCCATAGGTCTTCCTGCGAATATCCCTTCAAGGGATTGAATTTGCAAAGATGAAATGCAAACAGCATGATTACATAAATATAATTACATATATATATATACACATATATATATATATGTATATACATATATATATATAGCCATCCCCAAATGCCCAAAAAGATACCCTCCGGTCAATAGATAATAGATGTGAATAGGTAAATCATGTTTGTCATCTATAAGTGGACGATTCTCCCTATGTCAAATAACCACGCTTTATCATCCCCATTTTTGTTGGTTATAAAAACTCCACTAAACCCATTGAATCCCATCAGATTCCATTACTGTAAACCCCACTAAACCCCATAACATCCCATTAAATTCCCTATGAAAATGAGTATGAAACCGTCCTGTTTTTTTTTGTTTTTTGTTGTTTTGTTTCGTCACCACGTTCCAGGAAACATTTCGATGCCAAACTGTGCCGACTCCTTCGGCATTTCACAGGTGCGCCCCCACGTGTTTTGTATTTTTTCCCACATGATTGGTGACGAACGAAATAGTTTGACTTGATTGGTAATGAAATTATATGAAATAGGGAATCTGATATTTCATATATTGTTTGGCTTATTGATTTATTGGGGCTTATGATTTAATCCATGGTAATTAATTATAGGGCAAAAATATCGAATGTCTCAACATGTTTGGCGAAAAAAATCGTATTTAAGTGCTTGACAAACTGCAAAAGATGCAATTTTGCTTGGTCCAGTTTCAAAAGAAACCAACCCGAAAAAAAACAAACCACAACCTTGAACGCGTTTCAACATTGCACATTCAACTTTAAAGGCTCAATCCAAAGATTTTTCCGAATAAAATAACAAGAACTCTTCGTGGTCAGCTCTGCAGTGCCACCGCGAGGTGAAGCGGAAGCGGCTCCTCGCCGCGTGGACGGAATGAAGGCCTTCCGTGGCTTGGATGCCTCGCTGGAGCTGGGGCTGATCTGACCGGGCCCTCCGTTGTGGATTCCAGCGAAATCACATGGAAGTCACATGGAAACCCATATGGACATCTATGAAAATCATGAAGGTGATATGGAAATTTATATGTTTTGTTTTCCAAGATAAACACAGGCCATGATAGTAATAACGTAATAACTGTAGTGACCCGCAATCTCTCAACATGTTTCATAAGGCGAGATTATATTATACGTATTTTATCATAATGGTATATATATATATGGTGATAAACATTATATTACTATGGTTATTCCCAACTGGCATGACTATTTTTTCCATATCTTAATGTACTAAATCTACTGGATCCGGCTACCAGAAATCGAAGCCTGGCACGACGCTGTATCTCTGTGGCGGATCAGCGATCCAGCAGACATATGAAACCAATATACAGATATGGCCATATCTGAATCATACTGTATGCTGTAAATGGGCCATCAATGAAACAGATGTAAACATATTATTCTCGGATGGGGCCAGGACCAGCAGAGGCTACATCCTGTGATATCCAGTGATGTCAACGTTAGGTGAAAACTAGCGAAAACAAGTTTCCGGTGACTGTTTTTTGGTGTGTGTGTGTGAGAAGGCAATATTGCAAACAACGGATGCGGGCATGCTTGTGCTGTTGGATGTGAGAGTTCCTCACAATGGTTGGTGGTTTCAATCATTCCATCAGTCCTATTGACAAGGACACAAGCGTTCCCTTATTAAGTCCATTCACATGTAAAATATTCAAGGATTAAGGATAGCATGTAGACATTCAATTGACGCAATCCGACTGGCAATAGAAAAGGGATTGGCGGAACTTGGAACCACCAGCATGTATTTGTTGTGGCCTGCTCAGGGCCATTTTACCAGGGAAATGATGAACTTAAAGTTCAACCTGGGAACGTGATCTTCTATGTGTTTTTCGGATCCGGCTGAGCTGGATGTTTTCCGCCCTTGAAACATGAGCATCAAGTCCTGCAGGTCCATTGTAGATGATGGTTATACCAAGAGCCACCCCTTCCAATGGTCAGCATGAATACGGTACCCCAATCCAAGGGGAACCATAACCATGGACTGACAGAGGGGGATGGCACGGCGGTACCTCTCAGCTGCTGCATGATGCATGGCACAGGTGATGTCAAGACCTTCCCTTGTTTAAGAGCTCAATGGGTTTGTCTGAACTTGAGGTATTTGCACTCGTACCTCCAAATTTGATAGCTTATCAATGTTTATTTGATAGCAATTTTGAATGATAACTCCATTGTCAGACCAATCCCACTTGATTTTTGTAGGCTTGGAACGCTGGGATGCCACATGTTGACTCTGAAAAGGCATCTACGTAGAGAGAATTGTTTGGGCGCCATCATGCGCCAGCGGAAAAAAATGTTGAATCAAGCGCGGGTGGGCAAACCCTTTACTCATTGGATTGTTTTAAGGGGAATTTTACAGGAAATCCCCATATTTAAAGGTAAAAACAATGGTTTCCTGTAGGTTTTCACTTGAACCAATCCAATTGTTTACAAATAGCAAATCATCGAAAGAAGTGGGGAAAAAATCCGGCCATGTTTGTTAATTGCAGAGGACATCAGTGGCATCCATGGAAAGTTGGTCTCATTTCCGAACGTCCAATGTGCAGAATCAATTTTTCTGCTGATGGAGGGTAATAAACCCACCAGAACGCCGTACTTTGATGTACCATATGTTCTTTTTGGCCTGGGAACCTTTCAACATTGATCTTTGGTTAACCACACCAGTGCAACATCATCTTACAACACCAGGAATGAAAGATCAGCTACCCTCGGGTAAACTAACATAGCTATAGGAAATCACCATTTTTAGTAGGTAAGTAAACTATGAAAAAGGCCATTTTCAATAGTTATGTTAAATTACCAGAGGGTAAAAACAACCTCGCCCTTAGCTTAGCTGAACTCTTCGAGAGGGCGATGGGGACTGAAGAACAAAGGTTGGGTTTCATTGGCTGGAACACAGGTGAACAAATCCTCCATCAGCAGCATCTCCCAGTCTTTGTTGGCAGCTTTTGGCGTTGACCAGACGCCCGTTCAAGCCAACCTTCTCGAACCGTCTTGCGCGCATGACCCGCAGTGGTAAAAGGACGTGAGAGGGACACCTTCCCACAATTTATATACATGAAACATCATGAAACCAAAATCCGTCAAAAGTGACTTTGGAAACCCACTTTGACAGATGTTCTTTACAATGGATGCAGCATAGTTTGGATTTGGCCCTGAGGGGTTCCAGCATGTTCCACCCACTAAGCTGCCCACTGGATTGACACTCCATGTGGCAAAATCTGTTGATCCAAATGGACTCTCAATAGCCTATATAGCAGATATCAGTACACGCACTCATATCAGTATGAGCATACACACACTGTGATATATATATATATATGATATGCATGATATTTGTTTATAATATATATATACATAGCCTTAGCATTGTAATGTATACAATGTATACTGTATATATATATATTAATCACATTTGTATATTTAGAAGAAAAACACAATTTATATATATATATATATGTTATGTATTTGATTTAAACAAAAACATATAGTATAAAGGAGCATATATATATATTATATACACATAATTTATGTCTTAAACATTATTAATTTAATATGTCAATATTTATTTTGTATATAAGTAATTTGTTGTGTATATATATATATACGTATATACATGTGCGTGTAAGTTGGTTGATCCCAAAAATGTCACCTACTCCCAACGAAAGACTATCAAACCAGGTGCCTGACAGCCGTGCTCCGGAGGACATCTTTGTTTTTTTGTCGCGGAGAACTGGATGGTGATGTTCACCCAGAAAGTTTCATCAACAAAGATTCAACTTATCAAAATGTGGATTTAGCCCAAGAAACTGGGAAGTTTGAAGTATCAAATAATGGTGATTCAAAAAATGGTGATTTAGCCATCAGCATGTGGATTTTAACCTAAGAATTGGGATTTAGCAACAAAGAACCATTTGTCATTTCAATTGATTAGTTTTAACAAGCCAAAGGGTGAACAGAGGGATATCATCCAGACAATTTCGAAAGTCAACAAAAAATGGATATTACGGGATGATATGATGGAATTTGAATGGGTAAATATGGGCTTCAAAAACCAGACGTACACATGGGTTGGTCATGTCTGGTCATGGTACTCATCGTCCATTTGTGGTGCCCAGTTTTGACCCATGTCGCTATTCTATGGGCTGTTCGCATGGGATGATGTCAGAGATTCTGCTGGCTGGTTGGCAGTTTTATGTTTGTGTTCTTATAGTTCGAGCCGTTTTCTTGATGATGATCCTCCTAGCATTCTTGAGATTGCTTAAGGTCACCAACTAGGAAAAAGCAACCTGTATGTATGTATGTATATGTATATATATACATATAAATGAATAAATAAATAAATAAATATAAACAACTAAATGAATATACAAATATATATCGTCGAGTATTGGATATAAGAACGGCGGCACCAAAATGTTGGATATTCCGAGGGATACGGCTACAGTTACATCCACAACTTCTCCAGATGGCCATATCTGGGAAAAACGAATCCCATCCCTAATATTAAACACCCCCCAAAAAAATGTTTTAGTAGGGGATTTCCACATAATTGAAACCATTTAGGGGGTGTTTAGTGGGGGATGGGATTTTTGGACAAACCCATGCTGCTGGAGCTCGGCCAGGATCGCACAGGCTCCAAAATGTCGAAAGTCTCACGGAACTCACTGGGTCACTTGATGCCCCTGCACCGCAAACATTCCAGTTTTGGTTCCTTGGACTTCAGCCGGCTGGGTTTATGAGTTTAGCTTTCTTGATGTGAATTTAGTTGTTTTCCCACATAATTTCGATGTTTCACACCGAATTGAGAGCTGCAACTTGACCCATTGCAACAACTCTGGCTGTTCGGCTTTTCATGGCTATTCGGCTATTCATGGCTATTCCCCCTGCCATGCGGGTGGTATAGGCACTCTAGTGACTCTAGTTCTAGTGGAAGACATTGGAAAACTTCCTTTCTGCCCCAAGAACACTCGGCCCGGCCTTGGCTCCAGATGCACTTCTCCACAGCTTGGGCTTCGCCGCTGTTTCCTCGCCGCCATGGGATGCGGGCAAAGCGGCCAGAGCACTGCGAAGGAAAACAAGGGCAGCGGCGGCCAAGCCCATGACAAACAACAAGCCAAGGAGGAGAACAAACAATACCAGGTGCCCGGCGTGGGGTCTGGGATATGCGATGCGGTTCTAAATGGTTTGTAGATTTGAAGGTTGACTATGGTTGACTCAGCTGACTCCTTGCAGTGGGATCCAGCTCTTAGCGTTAGCTGTCGTGGCCAACGCCCGGGGGCCTGTGATGTTTGTTTTTCCAGTCATAGACTGGCACAGTTTCTGCCACGTTGCCCGGGACGAACATGGACACATAGTATGTGTCATGATGTAATCTCATCATACAGTACTACATACATTATAGACAAGGCATGGATATATAATGAAATATATGTATATATATATATATATACATAGTATCATGATAACCATAATTTTAATATGTTATATATATATATGATATATGTAATGTATACATATATAAATATGCCTACATATGAAATGCCATACCATCATCATATACCCACCGACTCGAAGCCACGAGCAACACGGCAGTTGCTTCTGCCAGAGGCCACGATGTCCTTCCTCTCGCAAGTTCCACTCTTCAATAGGCTCTCCTTGAGGGGGATGGGATGACTTCCAGTGACACAGGAACGACCAAGGAATGACTGGAGGACCATCATTTTGGTGAAAATTCTTGGTTCTTTGCCTAAGTGTAGGTTGATCTTGTCATGATTTGATATGTGTTGATATGTTTTTGATATGGTTTGACATGTTTTTCTTTTGATTATTGTGTGAGTTTTGTTCAATGCTCTTCGGTTGGTTTGTTTGCTTGTTGATCATATTATATACGAATTTTAGGTGGTTCATTTTGATCTATTTTTGTTTGATGATGGCATGATGGTCGTGGCTGGTCAAATCCATTTTGGTTTACTCGATTCCCTATGTTTGAAATGATGAAATGTTTGATTGTCATGAAAAATCATGTTTGTTTTCCAGTCATATCCCATGTTGATCCATGTTTTAGTCTATGATGAAGCCTCAATTGAGGTGTGTTTTGAAATGGGGGGGGTACCCTAAAACGATGAGTTTCCCTCGCGGGATATTCGCAAGTTTGATGATCAGTTGGGATCCCCCAAGTTTCGGAAACCTCCGTTTCGGCCCTTTGGAATCCTAATTTAAGAATCATTATGTATAAAAAACCATGCAACTATATGAAACCTCAATAAACCTTGACTTGAACTCATCACTTCCCATCATTGAACCTCCATTTTCTCATCATTTCCTGGTGATTTCTTTCCAACGACATCCGACGACCATGCTTCGCTCACCAGGCTTCCTAAGGATCAACACCCAATCCTGGCTGCGGCCTGTGTGAATCAAGGTTTTCGGCTCCTTGGAGGTTGAGAATGGGAAATCCCCGAGCTAAATAGATCTGATAGATGGATGTATCATCTATTATTTCTGGTTGGTGGTTTGGAACATGTTTTATTTTTCTATATATTGGGAATAATACAATTAATCCCAACTGACTAATCTTGTTCAAAGGGGTTGAAACCACCAACCAGTAATGACATCATGTAGATGGAGGATTTTCCAGTTTGATTAAGCGGTTGGAGGGGAAGAAGACAATAGTTGGCGCAATCATTTGCCCGTTTTTTTGATGACCATGATTGGTTGATAATTTCAACAATTTTCCATTTATCGTTCGGCTGGATTTTTAGCACGAATGGCAAATTTAACGAACGAAAATGAGGATGAAATTAGCAAGATCATGGGATATTAGGGTGCTTAGGGTGCGTATTTTTGGGGTACCATACCCAAATGGCAACTTTGCTGGTTCGATATGCGTTTTGATTTGCTCCATTTTTTCCAAATCCAAATTTGAAACGCGTTAAAGTCATTCCAAGTCTAAGTTTGAAACGAGTAAGATATCCAAAGTGCAAGAACAACTCAGCCTAATCATGGGTTGAATGGAAAATCTGCAGGAACTCTGGCTAAACTCCCATCAACTGTGGAGGCTCCTGTAAATTGTACCCTAAACCAATCCAATGAGTGAATAGGTCATAATTTGAATTTGATCCAAATAAACATGTTGCTTGTTCAACCCCCAACACTTCGGAGTTGTTTTGATCAACATAAAGATTTCGCCAGCTAGCGTCACGGGGAGAATTTCCAGCGCAAACGGGATGATCCCAGAAACCATGAGCTGTTGCGGGGTTTCTTGTTGGTCCCCCAAGGGTCAGATGGTTGAAAGGTGCAGAAACTCATGGCAGAGAACATCCTGGAATATCAATGAAGAAAAGTGAGTGAAACGCTGATGAGCGAATCATATTGAACATATTCCAACTTGCAACTTCCGGTCGCAAGCGGGTTTTTTGGTTTATACAGGGGGTTATATCCCAAGTGATGGATCTTATCATGGTGCCACCATGGTGCCACCCATTATGCCATAAGCCGCAACAAATCACCGAGGTCAGGGCAGACGATCATCACCCAAGGCGATGTCGGCAGGGAATTTTTCATCATCCAAAGCGGAGAGGCGGAAGTCTTGGTGACGGATGGAGGTAGCCAGATCCTTGGCGAAGTTTCAGGGCGTAAGACTCAGACCATCCACATGTTCTTAGAGCATTTTGGTATAGGCATGGCATGGTGTCTGGTGTGACTTGTTGGTCCAGATCTTGGTCAACATTTCCATCCAGTATGTGTTTTGTTTGCTGGTAATTACTGTACGACATAATCTGATACTGTGGGGCCCATCAGTGGGCCTAGCTTTTAAATCCCAAGGTTCATCACCACTTTCCCTATTCAGAATTGCCATTCTTTGTATCTCTTTGGTATAATTATATAGTTATCCTTGTCATAAGCTTCTTATAAAGTTATAAAAACTTATAAAGCTCTACAAAACCCTATGAAAGCACACAAAAACCGTATAAAAAGATATCACAAAAAACGTGATAACGATCCAAAACCAGCTTATCCATCTATTTTCACCTTCCCGTTGTTGCGGGTTAGCGCCAGGAAGAAGGTGGCCAGCCTGAAACAGGGCGACTACTTCGGAGAGAACGCCTTGTTGCGCAACGAGCCGCGCTCGGCCACCATTAAGGCCATCACGGAGATCAAGACCTTGAAGATCACCCAGGAGAAGTTCAAGGACCGGTTTCAGAAAAGGTGGTTGAATTATGGTTCAGTTTAGTTCTATTAACTGATATTACATTAATATGCTAACAATTCTAGTTAGTACTTATTAGCTAAATTGGGTTGGTTATGTCTTAATTCTGCTTTAAACATATGGTTGAATTACGTTGTTATTGGAGTCTAATGATTCTAATGGTGCCAGGACGGGCGACCGCAAAAAAACAATGCTAATGTGTTTTTTTTTTAAATAGTAATATAAGACTATTTTCATCTATTTTCTGGTTTAAGAACGATGGCTTAACTATAGTTTAATTGGAATGTAGTGGGGTAATAATGGGGTATATCAACCCATCATGGTATATAAATATTGGAGCGGGCTGGCAACCGGTGTATCTAGCGCCTAGGACTTAGAAGGAAGCGTTTAGGAGCGATTAGGATAGGCCAAGGAGCTACAATCAGAGCTTCCCCAACCGCATTGAAAATTATGGAGTTGGGGGCTGACTTCCATGTTGCCAGAATAAGTGGATATGAGTGATTGGGGACTTGAATATATCCTAATATATTCCAGTTTTTTGAGGGTTATAAGTTATAACTTATAACCCACAAGCACTAACCACAAATCGCTGATTCTGGCACCATCTAAGTCTAGGGAGGGGGCGACTGGTTGAATTGGCTCATGATGATAAGTCCATATAAATGAACCCCCTTTATGATGTAATGGATATTAATTATTGCATAATCTTTCGGGATAGCTTGTACATGTTCGTACGAAGCCACGAATTAATTATTGCTGGAACTTCACTGTAACTGGAGAAACAAGTAACCGACGTCACCGAACATGACTCAACATGGGTATTGGTGGAATCTCGGGAATCATCCCAAAAAATGCGGAAAATGTTGTCTCATTTCTGAACTATACTATTTGCTATTAATTCCGCAGAAAAAAATATGTGTTTCACACAGAAAATCGGATTTGCGTCGCAAATCCTTTTTTCTTGTTCAAGATGGTTGTCCCCGATTCCCTGCAAGATCCCCTGCAAGATCGCCGACCTCACCCGGTCCGGAAAATGATCGGAGAACGGACTGTGAATTTGCCCACGTGTAGGCGCTACTTAACTGAAATCCAACGGACCAGCATGCTGAAATTCTGCAGGATTTACAGTCATCAGTGTACTGTATATTTTCCTTCAGTTTCCCATCATACTTTCCATAGATTTCCATAGATTTCCCAGATTTTGATGGCTCAGCCCCTCCCTTCCCGGTGTTTCAGGAGCTGGGCTTGAACGAAAAAATCCAGTTCGCCAACCGCAAGGCCGTCGGCGGCGGCGGCAAGCGAGAACTGGTGGTGAAGCCACCTTCGAAGAAGACCAATGAAGAACGGCAGCTCATGGAGCCCCGTTGGGAATGGGAACCCTAGGATGGGATGTTGATGGATTTTTGGGGAAAAATGGGGGGGCCTAAGAAACTTGGGCGTAGATATTTATTGTATTTTATTATCTACAGTTGCGGTTTATTTTATGTCTATTTAGGGTATATATATATTATACATAAATACATAATAATACATAAATAAATAGATATAATACTGTTTAATATAAACATGTATATATATATATATCAAGGAATAAATAAGTACATAAATAAATAGATATAATATTGTTTAATATAATATATATATATACATATACACACATATATATATTCAAATATAACATATATATATATATTATGTTGCAGTATTATTTTTATTTATTTATTTATTTTATTTATTTATTTATTGGTGCATGTGCTTACACATGCGGCATAAAGAAAAGAAGCTTCAAGATGAAAGCCATCGGTAGCACCCCAAGGAACGGGCGCTTAAGAAGAACGAGAACATACAGACCATGGTGAAGTTGGACGAAATCAGCGCCTTGGATCGAACCAATGGAAAAGGTGGGCCGGAGAGTTTCAAGAATGAATGAGTCCTCATGTTTGACTTAGTTTCCGGACTCAAGCAAGTTTTTTTTACTTTTTTTCAGGTTGAAGCATGTGTCGACTGTTCTTATACCTTTGGGTGTGGGAATGGGACAACTATGAGCTTAACGCAAAACAATGTGTCATTTGTCTTGCCATTACGAATACTGTACATGAGTCCAGACTGAAGTAAGAGTGCACATGAACATGGAAAGCAGCTGAGCCACAGCAGCTTCATCATCGATGTTTTTTCGAAGTTTTCAACCCTACTGTAATTGAGATCATGATCCCAAAGGACAAACATATCACCAATGAGTTTTGTGAATGGCATGAAATCACCAGTATGAAGCCAATCCTCCGAAAATCAGTCCGTTCTGTGTGCCGAAAATGCCACGTTGAACGGAAGGAGTGAAGCAGATCATCGACATTGCGTGGAAGGAAGAAGTTCCTAGCGGAGCCTTGCCGTCTGAACGTAAAAAAGTGAGGCTGCTTGTGACCATATGTCACCATGAAAAACTAGCATCATTTGAACCTGGTTTCCAACAGGAGTGACAGATGTCAGCCGCTGATTTTTTGTAATCTCTGCTCCCTAATACTAAAATAACAACCTTAAAAAAAAAACAGCGATTTCAAAATCAATTAAATCCCTTTTTGAAATCCTTCAAAATATTGCCAAGAATTGGATTTCGAAGCTTTCCCCTAATAATATTAATAATAAAACAAAACCTTAATAAAGAAAAAAAATGATTTCGAAATGAATTGCATCTATTTAATTAAATCCCTTTTCAAAATCCCTGTAAAATATTGCCAAATATTGGATTTCGAAGCTTTCCCCTACTAGTCAAATTAAAATCTTAATAAAAATAGTAAAAGAATGTAAAAACAATGATCTCAAAGTTGATGGGACCCTAATAATAAACAAACTTACGGGTCTCGTTCTATTGTTATTAATAGGGGCTAGAAATCACTATTTCACCATTCTGTTCTCCTATTGGGTTTTTCAATTACCGCACTAATTAAGAACGCTTTTTTGTGAGCTAAAAACATCCGAAAGTGGCAATCCACTCATATTTTTATTGGGGGAGTTTTAGTAGGGAGGGATCACAGGTTTCATCATGATGTGGAACCCGCTGGATCAAATTCGGCTAAGCTAATGCTTTAGCTTGGCAAAGTAATACTGTGAGCAAAATGGTTCCAAATCCGTGTCGGCGAAACTATTGGCGATGATGATGATGATGATGATGACGATGATGATGATGATGACGATGATGATGATGACGATGATGATGATGATGACGATGATGATGATCAAGATGATGATGATGATGACGATGATGATGATGACGATGATGATGACGATGATGATGACGATGATGATGATGATGATGACGATGATGATGACGATGATGATGACGATGATGATGACGATGACGATGATGATGACGATGATGATGATGATGACAATGATGATGACGATGATGATGATGACGATGATGATGATGACGATGATGATGACGATGATGATGATGATGACGATGATGATGACGATGATGATGGTGATGACGATGATGATGATGATGACGATGATGATGACGATGATGATGATGATGACGATGATGATGACGATGATGATGACGATGATGATGATGATGACGATGATGATGACGATGACGATGATGAGGATGATGATGACGATGATGATGAAGATGACGATGATGATGATGATGATGGTGATAATGATGGTGACGATGATGATGACGATGATGATGATGACGATGACGATGATGATGACGATGATGATGATGATGATGATGATGACGATGATGATGAATGATGATGATGACGATGATGATGACGATGATGATGACGATGATGATGATGATGACGATGATGATCATGATGACGATGATGATGACGATGATGATGACGATGACGATGATGATGATGATGATGGTGATGATGATGATGACGATGATGATGACGATGATGATGATGATGACGATGATGATGACGATGATGATGATGAATGATGATGATGACGATGATGATGATGTGATGACGATGATGATGACGATGATGATGACGATGATTATGATGATGACGATGATGACGATGATGATGATGACGATGATGATGACGATGATGATGATGACGATGATGATGATGACGATGATGATGATGACGATGAATGATGATGACGATGATGATGATGATGACGATGATGATGATGATGACGATGATGATGATGGTGATGATGATGATGATGATGACGATGATGATGACGATGATGATGACGATGATGATGACGATCATGATGATGATGATGATGATGACGACGATGATGATGATGATGCTGTCCCAACTGTATGGTGCTTTGTCACCAGCAGAGCCAAGGTCATGAAATTATTGCAGAGGGTGACCTCATTGCGGACTACTTCTACATTTGCCACTCGGCAAGCAGCAACAACTGGTCGCCCTTTTAGTTGTTGCTGTATATATAGATGTTAAATGATGTTCATATTAGCATGCATTTAATGCATTTCACACTATGAGGAGCCAAGATTATAGAGTCATCCTACACCTCCATGTATTGCAGGGTTCGGGTGGGTTGAAGGCAATTTCGGAGGTGTGCATTTGTGAAAAGGACAGGGACATGCATGTTTTGTAGACAGGCACCATTTTTCCCCTACATCTTCGATTTTGGTTTGGCGCATATGTTTATTCATAATTAGTTGCTCTGACATCCGTTGTTTTTCTTTCCTAGTCTATTCTGATTAGTCATAGCCCACAGCCAGGAGCACCCCTCATCATCTCAATTAGAGTCAGTACAATTTCTCATTCCCATCATCATCATCATCATAATAATATTGTTTTCAGTGGTGTATACATTGTATGTATGCATGTAATATTATATAATATATATATATATATGTGTGTGTGCGTATGCATTTTGATTGCAGTCGTTTTTGCCTGCTTTCCTGGACCACTTGATCTGAATCACCAGCCGAGTCATTTGACTGGATTGTATTTATTGTGCATATGGTTTTCATGTTAAGTTGTTTGTCGTAGATGGACAATAAACGCGACACTCTCGATGATGAATGTCAGGATCCTGAAACCTGAGGTATTGTACCAAGTAATTTCTGTTAGCCAACATTTTTATAAAAATATGCCATCAAGACTTAGCCATTTCTAGTACTCCCCTAGTGTTCTCCCATTTTTTGGGTGAACTACCCCCAGATGCGAAGCCTGTTACGCGAGACCGAGGGATGACTAAAGTGACAGCCCTGAGGCCAATCTGGGACCTTTGAAATCTTTGTGACTGACTCCAAGAAAGCGGTCGGGCCCTCAACATCCACGCTGCTGCTGTTTTTTGTTTTTTTTCGGACCAGGGATGGTCAACATAGCAGCCATCAAAATGGTGATGATGTGGGGGTGCTTTATGAAATTGGGTTTGCCACCTTGCCTACATTTGAGGATTTTGGGGGGGTTCATGTGTTGGTAAATGTTCCATACATGAAGCATCTGGGGTCGGTTGCAGTAGGAGAGAAACGACAAAACCTGGGGATGCGTACAGTACAGCCCATCACATGGTGTAGATGTTTGGATGGTTTGCTGCAGTTCTCAGCCTGATGGTTCACATGACCCTCGTTCACTGGGAAACTTTAAAAAGTTGAATTCGTTCAGTTTCATGACTTTTGTAAGTCAATCAGGCTGGCTAAAATGCAAAGACATTCAAAATATATGCACGAGAAACCTTGCGCATGCTGATGTTTGATGCTCCTAACCTCATGTTGAGGCCCGCAAAATAAAAGAACAATTCTGTCGGGCTTTTGTGTGAACGGTTTGAAGTTTGCCCTCCAGTCTTCCCATGGACCCCCAAGATTTAACACTAAATCAGTGGGGTTGAGGGATGATATTGGGTGGAAGGGATGATTAGATCCAACTTATCCCTCGCTTTGGAGCTGAACAGCCAAACAGCATCAAACAGCCAGGTTAACATCCCCAATTGAAGAGCTCAAGAGACCAGTAACCTCCAAAACCACATGGTGACTAGGTGGATCCTGTACTTTTTTGACTACGGGGCCACCCCCTATTTTCAGAGAGACCATTTATATAAATGGTTTCCATTTTGTTGGTAAGTCCTATAATATCAACTATGTCCACGACAATGGTTAGATATAATCACCATTATATCACAAATACTCCACATGATTGCTGTTCATATAATTATAGTCATATATATATATTATATATTTCGTGAAATATTCCCGTTCAATCCCCATAAAATCTAGCCTTGCATATGCTTGGTGATATTCTATTACCCTGTATAGGGTAGACTAACATAGAGGTGAGCCAAAACAGTTTCCTGGGAAAACCATTGGTTTTCCACATCTATGTTAGTTTACCATGGAATCCCTATTCCCCATCCAAATTGGTGCGAGGACAAGCCTCGCAAGCTGGTGCAGACCGTCACGGCCGGCGGAAGCTTCGGGGAGTTGGCGCTGTTGTACCTGGTGCCCCGCGCAGCCACGGTGGTGGCCAAAGAGAAGAGTTCCGTGTGGGTCATCGACCGGAAGAACTTCAAGGAGCGCAACGCGTGTTATGCGTTGAAACACGTTGAAACTTTGTAATTCTAGCAGGTCCTAGCAGTTCAAAGTGACCATTTTGGCTTCAGTGACCAATTCAACATAAACCAGGGGATAAGGTGAAAGGTGCGGATTGACTCGCACACACATGTATAGTACCACCATACATTCAAGAAAAGTGCTGACGTAACATGCAATATTACTTTTTAGATGTGACTTGTAGAAACTTTGTAATTGATGTGCAACCCAAAAATCTACATACCATCCCCAATTGGGGTTGGCGTGTTTTCTATGGCCCTGGAATGGTGCAGTGCATGACCCACAGGTTGGGGACTCCCATCCCCATCTGAAACACCCCCATTGTATGGTCCCTATGCGATTTCACGACAACCATGGAGCGGGGGAGTTGAGGGTTTCATGACTCAAAGATGGTATTGTCGGTCGGATTCACCAATACCGTAGCCTACCATTTGGGAATGTTTAACAGCCAGTTTATGGTATTGAGGATGGTTTGTTGATGAGTTTCCTACATTATTGTCAAAATTTTTGATAAACATAGAGTCTACCTGACTTTCATTGTTTTCAGTTGAGTTGTTTTATTTTTGTAGTTCTGACGTCACCTGACACTCACGTTGTTTGTTCTTTTTATTAGTTTGCATTTGTTAAACTTCCATCAATACATTTATTCTGCTCCCAATTGGCTAGGATTTTGCGGGCTTGAAAGCACCAAGTCATACTGCAAATTTGATGGGTTTGTGCCAAAATAAAGCATCCCATTCCCTTCACCTGTTAACCATCAAGTTTTCCTGTAAAAGTTACTACAGTTACCAGAAAAATCAGTGCCGTTTTTGATCCCAAACATGGCATTCCCACAACGGAGCACCTCAATGGGTCGGCTGGCAGCGTTGATCGCGAGGAAATCTTGATGAAAGTGTCCGAGGAAAAGATCCAAGAGCCACTCAGATCACTCAGCACATTTTGGAGGGAGCTGTGAACAGAGCTATGGCAGCTATGGTTGTATCCATGTTCTTGGATTGAAGGAAATGAAAACCGGTTTTCCCATGGTTTTCCCCATCAAACTGCAAGGGTTTCCTCCAAAATGTCCAGAATCAATCCACGGATTTTCCCCAACTGGGAGTTGAGGAGCTACAATCAGAGTGAAATGAATCTGCTGTTGTTTAACGGGGACATTGCAAAATTGGCCAAATGATCATTTGTTCATGAACATGGGGAAAAGAATGAAACGTACAGTAGATAGAATGAAAAATTCTCCATTTGGCTTAAGCAGTAGATAGAATGGGGAAAAGAATGGGCCTATTTTTAGACTCTTAGCCATGAAGGGGTAATGTGTAGCAACCCCACTGGCCTCAGCATAAATGACATGGAATCGTCCTCAAAATATCTGATGTGTTTTTTTATTTGGATTTTGTTCCACCATTTTCGAGCAGGTTGAAGGGAACATCTGCAGGAAACCATGATTCTCACCATCAAATATAAGAGTTTCCTGCATTTTTTCCTGTTGGTAAACCAATCCAATGACATTTCCCCAGATATGTTTATGAACAGTGGTTTGGTAATTCAATTGTTTGATGTTTTGCAGCGTATGTAAGACTGGCCATCACGGCTGGTTGGTGGTGTTCAAATCGTTGGGTGACAAGAGCTGGCTGCTGTGTATACAGAAATTCGGATACGTCAAAAAGATACTTACTGTAGATGAAGAACTGGCCGGTGGTTTCCAATCCCATAGGACCATAGGATCCATGTATGGTATATATATGCTAACATTTGGGGTATATTGATAGCAAATGTAACCATATATATAGTATACGTGGATCCTATGGGAATAAATGATTCATGATCTCATCAAGCAACTTCCATGGCTGACATGGCTCTCTGTCTCGCAGTGCTGAGCCAGCGGAAAAGGTGCTTCAAGTCGTTGAAAATCAACACCAGAACGGGCAGATAATGTGTGTGGGGGGTTCTTTTCTTCAAGCCGAGAGTTTTCCAACTAATGTGGCAAACCCAACAGGAAACCTCCAATTTTCGATTGTTTGTGCCCCCATTCTTAGTAAATAGTGAACGGTTTATTCTTGGACTTACCATTTTCTCCATGAATCAGCATTGTTGGTTATATAGGTATCCGTAAACTAAGATAGGTGAGGAAAACACTGGAAAAAATACGACGTTTCGGAGAATGACCTACATTCAGCTGGTGTGTTTTTCTCTGTGTGTTTCGAGGTACGTGAAGTATCTCAACAGGGTCGAGATCCTCAGCAGTCACTTGGCGATCACTCGTGCCGTGTCTTGAGATGTTTGAGCTTCCATGTAGGAGCCTGATAACGGTGTTTTCGAAGGGACATACCAAAAATATCCAAAAATGAATGTAATATGACGCAATGATATGTAATGGATTTTCACCTTGAACTATGCACAGTACATTGGATGTTTTTTTGCTATATTTACTCTGTCAGTTGGACCATGATGGATGAATTTCACCCTCAACGTCTCGGTTCTTCCGTTGCATCAGCTCATTTACACCTGAAAGTCAAACTCACAAATTGTGCTTTCATTGTTTGTTCAGATGGTTGGGTTTTCAACTTCTACGTGTCAAAGAGACCCTCAGACATCCTGTGCAGTCATGTCTCAGTATATTCCCTGAGGTTTGCTAGCTGCGGAGAAGCAACAAGTGGCAAGGGCGCTCATGGAGGTTCATTTTTCCAAGAATGAGGTGCCCAGTTGCCCAACCTCATCCCAGCTTGAGTGGTGATGTGATGCACCATTTATTGAGGGGTGAAGGATCTGTGAGCCAAACTGCTGCCATGGAAGGTGATTATCCAACAGGGCAATCCCGGGACCACTTTCTACATCCTCTTTGAGGGTGAAGTGGCTGTGTCTATCGCACCTCGGTGGTGTTTTTTCTTCGTTCAGCTGGTGAAACAACGGGGCCTCAAAATTTCATGATAAATACCTGGTGAGAGCCAGCTTCACTTGATACAACAAACATCAACAAACATGCTTCAGGAAAATCACCCCCAAATGTGCCTCAAATTTTGTGTCAGCAACATCCATCGAAATTCACCCTTTCTAATTTTCCCACAATACCTTCCGGTAATCAATATTGCAATGGAAATCCATCATTCATAGATGATTTTCCCCACTACAGACCTTCATTTATAATGTGTGTTTCCACAATTTCCTGCTATTGTCCCATGTGTTCCCACGATCTTCCCATATCCCATGATCCCATGATCCCATGATCCCAGGACGGTGATGAGAAGGTCCGATTGCAGGCGAGCCAGGACCGCAGCACGGCGCAGTACTTTGGTGAGCGCGCGCTGCTGAACAACGAGCCGCGCGCCGCCACCGTGAAGGTCACCTCGAAGGATGCCAAAGCGTTGGAGCCTTGGAGCTATGTGATTTTTTTCGGGAGAATGGGAGACAAAGGGGGGCTTGGATGTGGTTGGTCAACGATGATTTTAAGATATGTTAACTATATAAATAAAAATGATGATATATAACTGATACAACTGATTTAACTAAGAAAAACGATTATTTCACCAACCAAACATATCAAAAAATTGGATTGAACCATCATTGAATGGACAGATGTTGCCAGAATTAGGGATTTGTGGTTAAGTCTGGCTTCTAACCCCTCAAAAACTGCGATGTATCGGGATCTACTGTACCCAAGTTGCTAAGCACTTCGCGGACTTGGCGAATTCTGGCAACATGTGAGTGGGATCCGGGGGCCTTTCAGTGTCGTTCAAGTTTGCCATGGCTTCTATTGAAAGCATTTGAAAGCCAATGGCCCAATGGCTTGGCCTTGTATTCAGAACTGGCCAATCAGCAAAATGCATTCCACCATCGGCAGATAACATGTTCAACATGGCCATGGAAAATTGCCCATTTATAGATGGTTTACCTATTAAAAATGGTGATTTTCCATGGCTATGTTAAATAACCAGAGGGTATATATGCAGGGATCCAGGGGTCTGTCAGTGGAACCTGACGCAGAGAGAACCAAGTCGAAGCTGGTCGGAATATTCAGCTGCACTTCCTGCAACGTTTACCCAGTCATTTTGTTAAACCTCCCAGCACAAATGGATTTCTTAGACTTGGCATATAATAGACATACATAAATAGAATTAAATAGACAGACATAAATAGACATACATAAACATATAGAATCATTTAGAATCATATTATAGAATTACGTACAATGATAATTAATAATAATCAACATAATAATGCAACTAATACTGTAATAATAATGATTATATATATATACATATATATTTATACCAGTATATACTGTACTTTACAGGTATGTATTACTGTATACATTTATTAGCATCACACAAAAGTTGTTCCATTACTTTCCACTTTGGTCATTAAATTGAATACATCATCTACCCAGATTCCGCTAGCGCCATACGCTATGCCCAGGCTTTGGATAAGGAGGCCTTCGACCTTTTGCTGGGACCCTTGGAGGATATCTTGGCGCGAAAGGACGCTGGTGCCAGCGGCAAAGGTCCGGTGGCACCGCCTGCGGGGGCAGTGCATGGAGGACGCGATCCTCATAAGCCGAAGAGCCTCGGTGGCGGTTTAGGTCGATGCTGTCAACTTGTCAACTGAGGTCTTGCTGGTTCGTAAAGCAACCTATAAACCACCCAGATTTTGCTGATGCATAGCAAGAACCCATATGAATTTGATGATTTTGGGGATGGTTTGTTATTGCTGTACCAACACTCAGCCTCTTAGGGGATACAGTAATCCACTTAGGATCATTGGAGATTGGAGGATAATCCATGGGACTTACCAACCAGGGTTGTTAATTATTCACCACTTACAATCCGTGAGATGATCCTCTAAGTATAAAACCAACTTGCAGGTTCAATTGGGGTTCATAAATTAAAGTTATGAGAAAACCCTCCAGGAAACCAACATAAGTCTTACATAGGTATGGAAAATCACCATATTGAATATGGAAATCATCTATAAATGTGCCCTTTTCCATATCTATCTTAGTTTACTTGATGGTACTGGATATAACCCCTATGTCAACCAACCTTTGTGATAACAACTTAAACCACAGAGGATGTGGACTGAGGATGTGGCGACCAAATGGACCATTCAAGGTGACCATCCCTGGGTTAGTGATGTAATTCGGACCCTAGAGGAGTTGTTCCCTATCCACACCTCAGGGATTCCAACGGGTTCGGGGCAGCGGATTTTTTTTTTTCGGTCTCCATGATGTTTGGTGCTGGGCTGTTTCAGACTTTTCAGGGATGATGAAAAGGAATCACAACCCAGCGGCTGGTTTCATTGCTGGAAATGATATGCTTTGATCCTGATGGAAATGGATGGAAATGGATCATTATTGTGCCAAATTTGGGAGGATGAACGTCCACTATGTTGATGTTCACCAGTACACTTCTTTCTTGCTGAAGTTCTCAGAGTTGTTTGGTTAAGCCCGCATTGGTCGGTACTGGCAGGTCCCCGTTTATATTGACTAGTCAAGCCTTTCTAGTTTAAATCCAATGTAAATGGAACAGGTACCCCGCGGATCTCTGCGGTAATCAAGCATGGCAATTAACAATCCACATTTTTAAGCATCAAAATAATGAAATAACATTAATGGGGGAAAATCCTTTTCCACGTTCGATCAAAGGATGGTAGCTCTCCCGTTTTCGTGAGAAAAACTCAAGAACTCTTCGAAAGGAAAAACACCTTCAAACACTAGCGTTTGTCAATAAAACCTATTAAACATAAAAGAATGAAAACCTATATAAGTTTGTCAAGTCATTTCCCATTGGTTTCCACATCTCTAATACTTTCTTTGATGATATTTGTCAATCCAAAACTACCTCAATAAAAAACATTGTGGAAAAAGACCATTAGGACATTAGGATCAAAATCATGATGTAAACCCAAGTGTGTCACGTTGTCAAGCAAAAATACCTCTAAACACTAAACACCTCTAAGTCTTGTTACCTCCCACTTCAAAACCCATAAAAACCCATAAAAACCCATTAAAAAACGGTGTTTTTATGTGTTTTTTTTGGGAGATGTTTTTCGGTACCTTCCGGGTAGCCCAGTCGCCCAGGATCCTAATGAGTGATCTCTCCAAAATCGGCTTGTTGGGCGCGGGTGGTTTCGGTGCGGTGGAGCTGTGGGAGCACAAGAGCAGCGGGGAAACCTACGTCCCTTGGAGAGAGCCCGGGATGAGAAGTACTGCACGATAAGTGGAATATCATTTGATTATATCTATCTATATATATAATACATATAATATAATATATATATATATAGATATGTGTTATTATTATTGTCATTATTGGTGTCATTATTATTTTTGTCATTATGTTATCGTTTTGAAAATTATGTGTAGTTCTAATATTTTTTAAACATAGATAGAAATAAATAGACATAGTAAATTTCTGGGCCAACCAACCGGTTAGATACGAACTAGTACGTGTTTTGTTTAACGATTTCAATGGTGAAATTAGTGCTAACCAACAAAAAAAGATGACAGGTGCCTAAGATTTACCATGTAATTACGTTTACGGATTCTACAGTAATCATCTAAGTGATGTACAGCTACACTATGATTCGTAGCTACTGGAGGCAACCCCGGATTAACAAACCCTGGTTGATGAATTTGGGGTGTCTCCTAAATGGTGATCATTGGCTACTAAAGTCTGGTACTTCCACAATTAAACAGCCTAGTGGTTTATTCTCCAGGGTTGACATTACACGATATCTAATCATCCTGAAGTAGATAATGAGAATAGAATATTTGATTCTCACAGATGGTTTTATCATTTCTTATTTTAGTAAGCGTGTTTTAAAATTCCATATTCTTTGCTCCAGGATGAATATATATATATATATATATTGTTGTATGGTGATATCATTGTTTAGCAAACCCCAAAAAAGATAGAAGTTTGCAAAATCCTACTTATAGTACTGTACTTGATTACTGTTTGACATATGTTTGAAGATTGATTCAACATCGTATAAGGTGATAGGTTAAACTAGATGACATTAGATTGGATCATACAGTTTATATATGGATCATACAGTTTATATATATATATATATACATGGCTGTACTTTACTGGGGGTATCCCATAACATTATAACAGACACCTTGGCTGCTCATACTTAAAACAGTTTACATAGCTATAAACCACGTATCCTAATTTATGTCGTTTTATTGCCTGGCCACGCCCTGATATGAGTCAAAACCCTGGGGCCCGGATGATACCCTAAAATAGCTGGCTAATGGAAAAAAAACTGTAGCTTTTGACCTATCCCCATATTACTGTATCTCACCTTCAGCTAGCAGCTAGTTGGTGCTTTGAGCACTTTGACTGCAAGGGGCTCTCCCAAATGACATACCTAAATCAGCCCCGGCATCTATCAGCGACCTTGCAGTTTTCCAATTGCTTGGAACGAATCCAAAGTGTTTAGTTCCTCAGTTCAAATGCCAGTCAGAAAATGGGCTGCACCAGCCAAGTGTTTGGAGTCTTCACTGTCTTCACTACAGGATATTTACATTTGCCCCTCCGGTAACGTTGCAATGGACAATTCACCAGAGCCATGGATTTTCCCAGCTATAGACCTCTACATTGGATGTTTGGGGAATTTCAGGCCAGCCATGTTTGAGTACGGGACAGTATACGAGGAAAACACAACAATAAGGTTGGTAAGGTATGCATGTTCTTGAATTGATATATATATATATATATGCATATATGTGTATATATATATATATTTGTGTGTGTGTATGTATACATACATTATACAACTATCCAAGTATATCCCTATTTAGTCATCCCACATTCCATGCAGGTTAACTCCCCATTGAGTAGCTGGGGAGTTTCAAGCCAACGCCCAGGCCATGAAGTGCATCAGTAAAGGCTTCATTCTGAAGACCGGAATGCAGGACAGCGTGACTACAGCGACATGGCGGCATGAATCTTTTGCGATGGAGATGTTCCAATGGGCAAGGTTGGAATACCAGAAAGATCCAGAAAGTACGCATGACATGTTTTCCTGAAAGAATGTGTGAAATGTATTGAAATGTCGTGAAGATATTGGCCGGCTTGGTTTCAACTAAGACAAGAGGTAAGCTCTCCATCACGAGGACGATGCACATCGATGCACCAAGCTGTCAGTTGGGTCGCCTTAGGACCCCATCGTAGCGTGTTGTTACATCGTAGCGCAGCGTGTTGGACGTGCCAAGGAGAAGAATATTCTGTTTATGACCAACTCGAGTTTCATCATCAGGCCAGAGATCGAAGAGGGAGTTGATTTTTTTGGGCTGGTGATGAAGGGTTTCTAGTTTCCATTCCTTAGAATGACACGTACTTTTGGGATTGAACAGCTTTAAAAACAACCAAGGAGTGCAAAGACTACGGAAGTCCTTTGGTGACACATTGCCCCTGCAAATGCAATGGATGTTTGCACCGTTTGAAGCTGAGATGTTAGTATCTCCAAGGGTCGAACAATTTTAGGGCACATGTCCCACCTGAAAGCAGGCTCTATGAGACCTACAACAGCAAGCAATCCATCTATTTCTTGATGGAACCAGCGCTTGGGGGAGAGCTGTACTCCATGTACCAGAAGAAAGGTTCCTTGCCTCAGTTGTGATATTGTAGGTGTTGCAGTGAATGGCAGGGTCACATTGTTTCTAGCTGGTTATTGGAGGTAGGTGTGCATGTGTGTGTGTGGATATTGTTGTTTTGTCTGGTGTCATTTGTATTGTCTGGTGTCTTTGTTTGTGAGTGCTTGCTTTTCGTGCTTCTTTGCATGTCATTGCGTATGTCCCCATCAAATTGTAATGTAAGGTCTAGCACGCACACAACTTGAACTGATTTGTGGTTTCAAAAATGGTTCTCCACTTGCCAGGTGAAGGTCTCTATGTTCTAACAATCTCGTGACACTCTCACTCCGTCACTCACTTACCCTCCAGCTTCCTCGCCAGTATGTCATCGCCAGCGCCAGTTTCCCTGCCAGCTGCCAAGTGCAATGTCAGATAGTTTGTCAGAATAGATGTCAGGTAAGAACGTCAGAAGATATGCCGGATAGAATGTTAGATAGAATGTCGGAAGATATGTGAGATAGAATGTCAGCCGCTGGGTCGCACTCGACGAAAGTGATTGATGTTCACCTTTTATATGTGGGATGCTGATCCCCAATGACAAGAGTATATCGTTAGGGGATGTTAGGGGGGTGGCCCAACCAACATCAAAAACGGTAGCAATAGTGACCTAGATATTTCTTGGTTACAGATATGTCTCAGATCTCCAGCATATATCGTCGGTGGTTTCAGCCAGGTTTCTACGGCAGCGAGAAGCATGCCAAGTTCTACTCCGCCGGGGTGGTTTGCGCTTTCGAGCACCTCCACGAACGGCACATCATCTATCGAGATCTGAAACCGGAGAACTTGCTGCTGAATGAGAAGGGGCACCTGAAGGCCCGGTAATGAACATCCCCCAAAACATCATAAATGGATTAAATTATGTGTATATTTGTATATATATATATATCTATCATCCCCAAATGGTAGGTGTATTGTTGGGTTCCCCACATTATGGGTCATATTGGTTGCTCATGGTTAGGGACCAGCTGGAAAGGATCGATGATTTGTGTTCAAACTGGCCAAATAACTCTGAATATTCACAGATGGCTGACGATGGTTATCTTAGTTGATTCAGAGGGAAAAGAAGTAGTTTTGTGGTCTTCAACTCAGATTTGGTGTGCAAAGTTCCTTTGAACTGGAGGGTTTCGAGGGCCTCCCCGGCAATAAATACGGTTGCAGAATCTTCCAGTCATAACTGTGACTTCTCAGTCAAGGGATTTTGGACGATTTTGGAGTTTGCTGAAGCCTCAAAAGCTCCTTTTACTTCTGGGAGGTGCAGTCAGGGTTCTTATGATAGGTTATTTTCATGGTTATTGGTGGTAGACGACCATGTTTGTTCCACCCACCGGGATCATTGATGGCCATGTGGAGCAGCCATCCCCCATTGGAGTTGACTTTGAATGCGAATCTGAATGAGTCTCCAATGTTTCAAACCGAAGATGAAACTTAGCCGACCTGTAAAAATACGCTTTAATTGGGCAATTGATAAAGATTCTTCGTTGAGGTCACACACACACATGTAAGTATGTAGGGTATGAAGACAAGGATATCTAAGTGTGTTTATCCTTGCTCACCAAAGAGCCAACAGAGCATAACTCTGTATTATTGCAATGCATCATTATCGTGGTGACAGGATTTCAGCATGTTTAGGCTAGCCTTTTGGTCATGTGTTCTAGTTTGGGTTTGTTTCAAGTCGATCGGTCGCAGTAGCCGAGCATGCACATGTTCAAGCTGCAACCAGATAGATGTCCATTGAGGTTACAATTTCCAATTGTAAACCAAGTAAATGGCTTTCAATTTCAAAAGTTTCCCTGATATGAGTTTTATGTTTTCCCAATAAGCAGGTAGTATAACTTCTTGCGATAACCAATCAACAAGGATATGTTCATGGCTAAAAATCAAGATTCCCAAGCGCCAAACACCTCGAAAAACCCGATGGAAAAACCTGGTCTGCCAGCATCTCTCGGAAGGTGACGGACATGGGTCTAGCAAAGTTTGTGATTGGCAAGACCTACACCACTTGTGGCACGCCCGACTACTTCGCACCGGAGGTGATTGCCTCCACAGGCCACACCCACGCAGTGGATTGGTGGATGCTGGGGGTGCTCATCTTCGAAGCTTGGACGATGTGACAGTATGGTCGATGTGTTTTTTTGATGGGACAGTGCTTCAACTAGGTTTTTGGGATGTATTTCAGGTATTTAGCAATTTTCAGACCGGAAGATTCAGCACTACAACATCTACAACTCACAAAAAGCATCAAAAACATTCAAAAACCATGGCAGTTGTAGGAAGCTCATCTTCACCCACCAATCTTCAGTTGGAGCTTCCAATATTGATTCCCTTGGTCGGTCAGAGCAGTCACGGTTTGGTGCAACGCCCTGAGGAGTTCATGACGGGCTCGGCGCCTTTTGAGGCACCGTACCCCATGCAGATCTATGCCAAGGCGGCCTCTGTTGATTGCTAGATTACAACTAAACATAACTATGGAAAATCACAATTTTCAATTGGTAAATCCACTATAAATATCTATAAATCACCATTTTCAATAGCTAATTATGTTAAATTACCAGAGGGCAAGCCACTGTGCTTGGTTATTCAATGTCATTCACCTACTTGTACCTATATTTTTTTGATGTTCATTCTTCACATATATATATATAATATGTATGTATTCATTTGATAAACGAACCGTTTGCTACGGGATAGATGACCCATTTAGTTCGATGATTTACCTATTCAACATGGTGATTTTCCATATAACTGTATGTTGGTTTACAGGAGGTTGTTAAATGAAATGTTATGAAGCTATTTGTTGTAATGAAGCTATTTGTTGTAATGAAGCTATTTGTTGTAATCCCTTCTTCCTATTACTAAAACTCCCCCCCCCCAAAAAAAAAAGAATTGGTGTGGCACTTCCGTTTTTTTTTGGTTGGGCGCAATTGGATTCTTACTTGTGGTAATTGAGAATCAATAGGAGAACAGAATGGTAAAACAATGGGTTCAACCCCCTATTAATACAAATAGATTGCCACGTGGAGGTTTTTTATGAGGGTCCCATCTCACAAGTTTTATTTTGTTATTTTTATTATTAAGGTTTTCATTGGAATATTAGGGGAAAGCTTCGAAATCCTGTTTTTGGCAATATGTTATATAGATTTCGATAAGGGATTTAATCAAAGTTGAAATATGTTTTTAATATTTTTATTATTAGAGTTTTTCATTGGAACATTAGGGGCACCCAAATACAAAATGCCACCTAATAACAAAAATAGATCACTGTGTTTACCATTTGGTGGGGTGTTATACGCGTCGGGCGGATAGATTTTACTTTTAGTAATAGGAACAGAGGATTAATTTTGATGGGTTATATATTCATCTACCTGGCTTGTTGGGGGATTCTAGGTTATTATAATAGCCCACAACAATGATGTTTAGTAATTATATATATAATGTGTATTATAGTAGCAGCATTTAAACTATGTAATTCCTCATGATGTTTATAGTTCTAGTTAGCCCTGCAAACCACACCTCGATGAAAGTCTGGTGGTCATGTTCCATTGCCATTTTTGATTCCCAATAGAAATGATAGGGTTTTCCCTACCATGTAGAGCCGGAGAGCTACGTTGGTTTATACCTCGGAGAAGTAGGATCTATGCTAGATATATACTATATACATACGTATATATATATACTGTCTACCTATATTAAGCTTATAAAAACCAATGTATAGCATCGCGGCACCCTTTGGATAATCAAACGTTGCCATGAAGAAATCTCCATTATATATATATATATATATGTATATATTATTTTCCATTGAAATCCATTAATCAATGGCCATTTCAGGAACCTCACTTGGAGGCACCTACCATATATATATATAAGGCCTATATAAGGTCTATGTAAGGGGATCCCCAAAATATTGCTTTATATGGTACAGTACCTCCATTATAGGATCCTGAAATTCCCATTGAATTAAAGCCCCCATTGAGTTTGGGCATTTCCAGGTGTTGAAAGGCATCAATGCCGTGAAGTTCCCTCCGCAGTTGTCACCCGCCTGCGCACCTTGTCTTGCATTGGAAAAGATGTGGTGACCTGTCAACTGTTTCAACTGTCAACCTATGGATTTTCACTGGAAACATAGAATCCAGAAATCACATGACACAAGTTACATGATATCATTTAGAATGTTTTGTTCCCCATTTCTGAATCGTTTCCGGCTTTCATGCTCAGAAATTGGTCCAACAATATCCAGGAAAACCATGGAAAACCCATGAATAGTGGAGTCAAGATGGTGTTTCCCTGCGATTTCCCCTCTACAAGACTAGATCGGAGATGTTTGGCCCCGGCATTAACCGTCACTAATCCATCTTCCACAAGATCCGGAATATGATTTGAGATTATGCAATTAAGCTACCAATATATTGCAATCATACATCATGTTTACAGCATGTTTACAGCATATTACTGTTTCCAGCCCCATGGTTCATCATTTATAGCAGGGCCCTCCAGGTCCTTTCCGTCTTTCCGAGGTAGATATCGTCAAGGCGATTTGCCAAAAGGAGCCGGCAGATCGACTTCCCATGCTCTCAGGCGGAGTTCGAAATCTCAAATCACATCAGTGGTACAAGAGCTTTAGCTGGGAACCTGGGCTCTGATATGCTCTGATCTCTGATGGAAATGTTATAACAATAATAGCTATGCAACACTCATTAAGAGACCATTAAGATTGCTGATGGGCTCTGATAGCTCCAAGAGTAGGAAGATTTAAGCACCGAATATGGTTGCTTACCCGATCGTTCCCACCAAAAGTTGAAGAGAGCATGAATAAACACGTGATAAATGTGTATGTGTATATGATATATATATATATGATATATTTTATAATATTTTATACATATATAGTTATACATACATAAATATAATGCATGGATGGTCGATTTCTCGTGACATTATGGGGTACAAGCCTGCCGAATTGATTATAGACATCACGGGACTAATGAGAAGCAGTATATCCTTACAACCTATATAATGCCTATATATGTCAAATAGATACCAAATTCACCAATATTAACCAACCAGTTTCATAGGATGGGATACTCACTGGGGTGTGGGTAAAGACCGAAGTTGTTCCTGTTTGGGACCTGTTGGATGGCAAAGAAATCAGCCATTTCTGTGGTAAAGCCACGTTCGTCACCATCCCCAAGTCATCAGCCTTTGAGTGAGTTTCCATCCCCGGTAGGTTTAGACAAAATAGCCACCGTCGGCTTGCCCACATGGCCCATGGCCAGCCAAGGACAAGTTCCAAGACTTCACACTTGAAGCCCCCTTCCTACCGAAGGTGCCGCTGTTCCAACTTGACAAGATCCCAACTTGACAAGTCTCTGAGGAGTTCGACCTTGAAAACCATTGAGGAACGTGGTCTTACAAAGCCCCAACTCATGCCAGGGTCTGCATATGTAATCATAGATTCTTTTCCCAATGAACCCCTAACTTGGTTCTGTAGCTGGAAAATCAGAATGGACCATGATTCATCAATCAGTCACAAACTGGGATGCACATCCCAGAATCAATTCTGGGGGTATGTGACCAGTCCGCACCTTTGGCATATCATTTGCAGTGAAGCAAAAATGATTTCCAAACAACTTTTCTAATGCCAACTTTGATTACCATAAACAAGTGTTCGTAACCTTTTCTAATGCCAAGTTTTTCTAAACTTGTCTTTGCTCGGGAGTGCAAGATTCGTTTCCGGTGATTCAAAAAATGCCATGGCTTTGCTAATCGCGAGGTCAAAAGCCGGAAGGACTTGAACAACTTCACCGAATCTTGGGCCAGTGGATACCAGTGGATACCAGTGGGCTTCGGTGATATGAATACGCCTTGAAAATCAGATGGAACATTTAGGCACAACATGCGAGACACGCATGTGATGGGGAATTAGATGGAATTAGCACATCATATCTCCAGTAAGAAAAGATATCACCATTAGTTCAAGGCAATTGAGCCTCATAGAATTGAGTTCAGCGCAACAAGGGTCCGAATCGATGCCCCCAAAAATACTCCTTGGTTGGAACGCTGGCCTGGGGATGCGTTCGTGGTTCGTGGGTTTCAAATATATTTGAATTCAAGACATGGATTTAATTAATGTATTTGTACGTATTAATCCCAGCAGTCACTACTTTGGGCAAAAACTTAGTTCGGATTTGTTCATTTTGGACTCCTATATCTGTGGGGATGAGATGGTTCTCGAATTCATGAAACCCAGTGTGTCTTCAGAATCCCCGCGGCTGTTGGGTGAAGCCACCAACATCTCCGAAAAGCTAAAAGACAAACGACGCTCCATCGACATCCACGACATCTCCGAAAAGTTATTCCCTTCGGCTCAACTCTTTGCCGAGGTACATCCCGATGAGATGCCACAGTTCATCGAATATGTGGATGATGGTAGCGGTTGGGACAAGGACTTTGCCACCGCCTGAAGCTGCGCGGAAATCTCCGGAGAACTGCAGCGGGTTGGTGAAATTCAGGTTTTCTTCGGGGTAGAAGGCAACTGAGACCATTATACCTAGAATTTGCTGTGCAAAACAAACTGATTGTCCCACTTAATGGATTTATGATGATTTATGTATGTGGATTTGCAGGGGGGGACGTTCCATGTCTATGCCAATTAGATCCATTACAGAGTGACAGCAGGTTCAACCCCAAAAGATGACACCACTGGACTGTCTCACCAATCAACTGAACAAACTGACTTTAAAAATCACCAAACTGTTGATGCGATTTTTGTTCCCTGGGGATTACTCCGGTCTCACCAAAATATACGTTTCACCGTGGAACAACGATGCAGCATCATGTGAGCCAGCCGGCTTGCCAGAAAAACCTGTGAGAGTTGGTGTCATTGAACAATGACTTTCCGTTTAAGCCAATTAATGGATGTGATTTTGATGGATTTGATTTGATATATATAGTTAATATGATACAATTGTCCGGTGTATTCAACTGATTACATTTTTGTAAGATGTAGTATGATGTATTATGTAATTATAGTTGGATCAAATTATGCTAGACATTTGCAAATTTGCCTGCAACTTTGAATCTTTGCAATATCCATTAAACAAAACAACAAAACAACAATTCACCATTTGCCCATTGAGAGTTCATGTGACCTTTTACGACACCCCGGGGTCAATGGACCTTCTTTTTTGGGCCAAGTTGGCTGCTGGCACTTGGCAATCAGGTCACTGGATGTCTATTCCAATCTGCAAAGCATGTGCATCCCTTGAGAGAAACACAACATTCGTACCTTGACATACCATGAGACACTTCTATCTTGAATGGTTTCATATATGTATATATACAATTACATATATATATATATATGCAATTATATATAATATATATATATATACAATTATATATATAGTTATGTGTGCAGTTATTTATGTACACATACATGTTTTTACCTTGATCCCTATCAAAATCGGAATCCGTGTTTTACTGTGAGATCGCCATTTCCCATGACAACCATCCTGGTTGCCTCCCATGGTTTTGCCACACAAAGTTGTGCTGAGTGGTTGTGCGCTTAACGAGTGCTGACTCCTTTGGCTCGCTGTCCGGGTCAAGATGAGTCAAGGACACTTCGACAGCTGATGGATTACGCCAAGCGGGCCAAAAGGGCGAGAGCTTGGAGAGGTGGGGGGTAGACTCATATGGAGGTTTCCTAAGTCACGCGGGTACCCCCAAATCATCCATAGTTAGATCATTTTTGGTATTGAAAGCTATGGTGACTTGGGGATCCACCATTTTAAGAAATCCCCCATATATTTATGTTACGGGAGTGGGTCATTCTCAGGCCTTAGGCTAAATAAGTGTGGATACATGCCATACAAGGAGATACATGGATTGGCTGGGTAGCTTCTGATCCAAGGATATTTGAGAGAGAGTGGTGTGCTGCAGTGGGCACCAAACTTGACAGATATGAATGATTTAAGTTTTGCACGTAAGCTTAGCTGTCAGCGGCATGATATGTTTTTGTCGTATTTTTTTTTGCAACTCTGTGACGTGATTTCAAGGTGGAGTTAAGTTGTGTGGTCAGTCAATCGGTGAAATTGTCCAAATAGCAAAAATACTTAAAATAACCATTGAAATCTAAGTGTGAGTTATGCCCCTGTGTTTGGCCTGCCCCCCCGCAAAAAAAAAGTGCAATCTGACATCCATTGCAAGGTGGTGCCCCCCAGTTATAAGCTGATATACAAACCCCTATTACGTTAACTATACGTAGATATATCTAGCATAAACCATAGTTAACCTTATGAGCCCATCTAGCTAACTATGGGACCCACCTTGTGACGTGGGACCCATTGGAGGACCTGGTTTTCCATGGGGCCTTGGCCACCTTGGCCCAAGGTATCTCTGATTACAAGACCGAACTGCAAAGTGCACAAGCAGCACCCCTGCACCTTGACTGCAGGGCAAATAGGTGATACCCAGACGACCGGTCATCCATGGCTGGGAAATCCCCTTGGAAATCTGGCAAAATTCAATGGGTGACCAAATACCACCAATTGGTGGGGCAGAATAGGATAGAATAGGTCCACTAAGCCAGGTGGTTGGGGTGGTATTCTGAGGCTGAACTCTAGGAGTCTTGGAGATGGATTAAAAAAGAAAGATAGAGAGAGAGAGAGAGGGAGAAACACATACAACTATATGTGCATATGTGTGTACTGACAGTAAAGAATCTCTTGTATATATACAACGTATAAAATTGCACTGGCACACACACACAGATATAAATATATATATATACATACATATTTGGTTGGTGGTTTCAAACATGTTTTATTTTCCATAAAATATGGGATAATTTTCCCATTGACTAATATTTTTCAAGATCGGTAACACCACCAACCAGATATAAACGCGTACTAGGCAAGATTCTACAGATACTATCTGTTTGAGGGTTTCCCATTGACACATTGAAAGGTACCCATGGGGACCCTGGGACCCTTCCCCAATCAGCCAGAAAATATTTGAAGGAAAGACAAGGAAAACAAGCAGATGTTTGTAATTGTATGTATGTAGTCATATATACATGAATTGTACGTACAAATGTGTATATATATATGTATAGTTATACATATATATATTACATATGAAAACATATTTGCACAACATGTATATATATATAGATGTAAACATATAAATTTGCATATGTATGTGAAGCCTTGGAGGTTTCCAATTGCCCGGTTTCATCACTAGCTGCTACGGCCGCGTTGGCAGATTCACCTGGTCGTTTCGCCGAGGCCGGAGATTTCAAGAAGCACCGGCACGCCCTTCCCGCCAGTGGAAGGCGTACAACCGGGCGGGATACATGTGTTGATAGTAATCCACGTACATGTTTTCTCCAGGCTCCCAGATGCAATCGCAGCGGCCCAAATCAAAACGGACATACATATACAAAAATTATATATATATATATTATATATATTATATATATTATATATATATATATATATTTAAATATATATATATGTATGTGTAATTGCTGTATGTAAGCAGGTTATTGAGTACATGCTTGTGAACTGCTCTTAGTTTTCCGCGGGGGTGATGAAGATGCTAAAAAATAAGTGCCAGGTGGAAATCCGGCGGATTCCTGCCCAATGATCAAAATGCAAGGGGTCTCACATAGAGGTGTCCTAAACATCTATTAGAATCTATTAGATCTATTAGATATATCATGAAAGATCGTCTATTTAGTACTTATATATATATATATATAGATAGATAGATATCATCTATACTATACATGGAAGTTTCCAATGTCATGGGAGTAGTTCCAAATCATCCAGTCATTCTTGCAATTTGATGGTGACTTTCGGATCCCCGGTTTTAAGAAACAATGATTTGCACAATAAAGGATATATGAGATATGGTTGTTCATTTGGGGGCTGGACGGCTTTACACACACGTATATATAATCATGCAGCATACATAAGTCATATATCATATTTGAATCATATCCATGGGCTCTTTCACAAGTAAACATCAGTAAACATCAACGCCTGATGTGTAAAACCTGGCATGGCCTCAACCGCAGGCGCCAAGAAACGTTGCTGTTGTCCATGCTTTTCGTGGTACTTAGCCCCTTGGTTGCGACATATAAAGGCATCCTTTTGGCTGGCGCTTTCAATTATACGTGTGTTTTACGTTTGATTTCATGAACTGTTTTCTCTGATGATGATAGAAAAGGACACGACTTCCATGTAGCGTCGGAACACGCACTGTTTTCCATTGAAACTGTTGAAGTTTCACCTGTCGGGACTACCAAGGCAACTACTCCCACAGAGGAATCGGCCCATAACCAGCTTTCCAAGTTAGCTTCGATCACCATGGATGTGGCTGGGCCAGATGGGGGACCAATGCCAAATGGCACTGATGGGGCCCTCAGCAACACATGTTTTGACAGTTCTTCACTTTATTTACACGCACACACAATCGCACAATCACACATGTATATATATATATACATGTATATATTATGTAATGATAACAACCCTGTAAAGTAAGCTTTTGTGCTAGCTCAATCGGCAGACTTTTTTGCCTGGAGGATGGAGGATTAAAATGCCCATGATGACCCTGGGACACACAGTAACATAAACCTTCCCAGTCATGACATCCACTGCAACATAGACTTTTGGGAGGAAAGTTAGCCCTGGAGATAGGCACTTTTGGATGGGTAAGTGTGGACGCAAATGGTTTTGGTGTCCTATCCAAAAGCCTTTGAACCACGAGAGGCTTTTGACTATTAACACATCGAATGAAAGACAAAATCATACGAAATCTCAACAAAGTGAGCCCAATTTTTTCATGTAGAATGATGGGACTGACCATCAAGACCCCATGTTTTTGTTAAGCACCGTTGGGGCTCCACGATTTTGAGAGTCCTGAGGAGCAGAATCCCAGCCATCAAGAAGCCATGCAAGAGTCCCTTGGACCAGGGCTGACGGACGTGCTGGATGAATGGGGAAATCAATGGTCAAGAGTCCCAGGAACCCCCAATAAGAAACACCACAAAACAAAACATCTTTAGAATTTCTTGGATGATATGTTGTGTTATCTTAGATATTGTAGGTTCCCAATACAGGATATCATTATGAGGGGAATGTGATTTACGGTGCTTACATCACAGCTTTTTCGATGGGAGAACACCAGGAGCTTGCTCCATTGTCACTAGATCTATGTGGGAAAATCTCACATCTTCGAGGACAACTATGAATCAGTTTGAATCCTAGGGTTCGGACGGGCCCCGTACATCTACCAGAAATTACCCTGTGGGTTGTGAAGTTATCTCCAGCTGATGAGCAGTCATGGGCTGTATGAGGTATGGTCGAGGGGAAAACATGTGGTTTCACAGTGTGAAACCATTGTGAAAGAAGGAAAACAATGGCAGCAGCAACGGCGGCAAGCGCATGTAGCATTAATGGCATTGCCCACAGGAGATATGACTGTGACATACTGTGACAAAGTAGTGATGGGCTGTAAATGACATGAGGTGACAATCTCCAGGGGTTGCGCGTGAGGTATTGGGAGCTGATGATGGGAGACGTCACTGGGCTTTTCAATGGATTGGTTGAAGGGGAAAGCTAAAGAGAGCAATCTTTTTCCCACGCACATATATATGTATATGGGCTTCCTGCTGACATTCGCTGAAACAACTTGTGGCTACGGACCTAGAAGACTGAGCCCATGCCTGGTTCTTTCACTTGACCATGGCTGTGCTTTTTCTTCCACATCAGTCCACATCAAACGCCATGGAAATCCAGCGCGTTTCGTGTTCCACCAGATTCACATCAATCCCCAAGCCGTGAGATCCATGAAATCCCCAAACTTCAGCATTGCCAGCAGACCCAAAGGGGGGGTGACCTCCCAAGCTGTGCTCCGCTCAGGTGCCTTTCGAGGCTCGTTCCAAACGATGGTCCGATGACCTGGGCTTTCAGGGCTCCAACCCTTGGAACGACTTCCGTGGAGGAGGCCATGGTGGCCGTGTTGGCCATGGGCTGTACATTGTTTCCTGGAAACTATGGTAAATTGTTATCTATGTCTATATATAATTATATATATATATTTATATTACGTAATAGATCGTAATAATAGTTTTCCATAATGTATAGGTTTACTATCTGTAGATTGTTATCTATAGGTATCTATAGGATCTCTTGGGGCTGATGATCAATGGTCGAATTTATAGCTCATCAGCAGTCCCAAGGGTATGCAGATCATATCTCCCCAGGAGATGCTGAAAAATCAGCCGACTCATAGAGAACGATGGATGAAGGATATTGATATTCCCTGGACTTCGAAAGGACCCCTGAGAACATAATATGATGATTATGGATGATTTGGCTTTTGCAGGGTTCAAATATGTTCAAACGTCTTTAAATACCTTCTCAGGTGTTTGGAAGTCTGGGGATTGGTGCCGGTTCTTGTCATTTGGACCAAAAATGGCAGCATGCGGTCCGATTGGGGAGAGGTACCCTTTCTCAAACGTGGCCGCAACATCTCAACTATTGAATTTATAGATGATTCTCACGTATGTTCATTTGATTTTCTCAGTTAATAACGTTCATCTTATATCCATCTATAGATAGCTATCAGGGATTTTCATGGATTTTCCGGAGATGTTCCTCCGTTTTTGATGATTTCCCATGGCTGAGACTGGGAGACTGATGAAGCTTTTGGCCACCATAGGCCTCCTGTCCTTGCGCTGCTTGCTGTACCTGGCGGGAAAGTACAACTCAAAGGTGCCGCGGCAGTGCCAAATGCTGCATGTATGGTATATGTACCTACATAACTGGGTCATTTGGGGAAGTGTTGGTCAATATTCCATACATCCAACATTTGGGTTATATGTATGCATTATATAGAACTATATTATATATATATAAGTAATTATAAGTACATGTACGCTTATACATATAAACTATTAATACTTATTGAATATCATTGATTCTATAAAATGATTTTAATATTGATTGCAGTTTTTTTTGTTGAGAGCAGACTGCTCGTCCCTGTGGCAATAGGCTCGACTTTTGATGGAGGAGGCCAAGTATCCTTCACGTGTAGGGCCCTCAGGGAGCTGCGGCGTTTTGTGTGTGCAAGATGTGTCCCTGGAAACGAAACTGTAAACGAAGCCTTGCGGCGTTGCGGTATAGTTGCCCTTTCTTGGGCGACTTACATATATATATATTATATATATATACACATATATGTATATAATGTAGAAATATATATATATATATACTTATTGCGTTTATACATGAATCACTGGTTTGTGTATCACTTAGATTCACTTGGTGGTTCACCACAGGAATCGGACTCGTAGGAAACCTGGACATTGCCCCTAGTTATCCTAATGAACTATGTAACCCACTTAAGTTCAACTCATGGATCCCTTTGTTTTTGCTGGCGCTTGATACTGAGCCTGGTTGGGGATAATGTCCCTGATGCTCAGCCTGGGACTCCGGATTATGGCTGAGTGTCATTGGTGTTTAATTACCATGTTTCTGACTATGATTTGCACATGTTTCCCAACTTTGGGGACAATATAACCATCAGTTTACCCATCAAAAACATGTGCAATTGGGATATAACAACTTTTATTTAGAACCATGCATTTAACTTCCTTGTCAGATGGGTATGTTCCTGACATGTTTCTATCCATCAGGCCTGGTACCCGTTCTCCGCTGCTGGGATCTCCATTTGTCAACTTTTGGCTGCAACTGGGACGTGGAACGAAGGGGAACTCGTACCCCAAATGGCCCAAAAAATGGTCGGTTTATGTGAGGTTGGTGAGTTGGTTTATGTTGATTTAGCATTTGAGCAAGACTGAAACAGACCATGTGAAAAGGCTTTTGATGGACTGGACGCTTGGATTGTGGAGTTTAGCATGATTTCAATGACGGTGAGGCGCTGGCTTGATATATAGTGTAATATGTAATATAGTGTATATACTATACATTTGTGTGTGTGCGCGGGTATGTTTATGTATATATATATGTATATGTATATGTATAATATATATATATATACACAGGTGTGTATATATATATATAGAGATAATGATATATATATATATACAGACATATATATATTGATATTACATATATTGTATTTACACGCCGCTTTTTGACGGTTTTTCCCGAAAAAAGGATGCTTCGAGCTTACCACATTGTGGTAAGCGTCATCTTGTCAGGTCGGCCCTGGGGCCCCAAAATCCAATGGAACTTCGTGGTGCTTATAAAAAATCAATCAACAACAATGGGGATATGGGATTTACCCCCTGGTAATTTAACATAGCTATTGAACATCATCCAACAAAAAGCGGTAAATCAATGTAAATCATTGAGCTAGCCATGGCAATTTTCCATGGCAAACTTTGAAATTATCAGAGGGTAGTTAGGGTCCTAAAGTTTGATGCTACACGGGTCGCAGTGTTCAACGCCCATGTTATCATCATCCTTGAACTGATAATCCCTACAAAGCAGCCTGAACAACAATGGAATGACAGGTTGGATAAACTCAAACTCATAGATATCCTCATTTTGTTGATTATATTCCCCTTTTCCTATCCCTTGAATATCCACTTTTGTACAATATGCATATATATATATATACACATACACAATAGACATTATGTAGCTAGATACAACAATTGCTACTGGACTGTGCACACTGCTCCATATGCTGTGACATTCACACCACGCCCTCAGGTGCACCTGCGCCTTCACGCACGACCTATGCTGGGCCCAGTCTTTTGGCCCTGAACTGCGGATTTGGGGAGCTGTTTGGACCAAAGTCAACCACTTTTGGAGCGTCTCCTGGGGAGATGGAGTTGCCTGAGGTTCGAACGCTGCCTGCAGCACATCCATTGGTGACTTGGATGTCACCATATGTCACCATGTTGCCATGGACGACTCCCATCATCTTGAATCTCCGAACGAAATCCTGGTTTAGTCGTGGATCTATTCATTTTGGGCGCCAGCAATGCTGGGTATTTGATATTGAGGGGATGGGATTTATCATCAATAAATCAAGATGGGGTCTTTCACATTGGCTCTGAGCGGTTGGAATAGCTTTTGGTAGAACTGATCCCGCAGCAGCAGATGATGGTTGTTGACGATTGACTCATTGACGCATGCAATTTATCAGTGATGTGCGACAAGATTAGATTAAAAACTAGATCAGATTAGATGATTAGATAGATGGATACATGCAGGCAGGCAGGCAGGCAGCCAGGCAGCCAGGCATGCATGCATGCATGCATGCATATATGGTTCCGGTCTGGGCTACCCCCCGGCTACCCCCCCCCAGATGGTGGTCCCCCCCCGGTAGCCCAGCACCCTGTAACGTAGCATCAAGTGTCTGTGCAAGTACGAGGGAAGGTCTTTTAACGTAGCACCAAGCCCAAGCGTCTGTGCAAGTGTGCAAGTACAAGAGAAGATCTTATAACCTCAAGCGTCTGTGCAAGAACAAGAGAAGGTCTATTAATGTGGCACCAAGTGTCTGTGCAAGTACAAGAGAAGATCCTTTCAGAGACCATCAGGTGTCTGCGCGTGTAGAATAGGTCTTGGCACGCAACATGAAGTGTCTGTGCACGTACAAGACAAGATCTCGTAACGTAGCATCAAGCATATGGAAGTAGGAGAGAAGATTTTGTAACTTCTTGTAACGTTGCATCAACCGTCTGCGCATGTGGAATAGAAGGGCTTGTAACGTAACATCAACTGTCTGTGCATGTACCAGAAAAGATCCTATAACGTGGCAGCAAGGATCTGTGCAAGTACGAGGGTGGCACTGCAACATAGCATCCAGCATCTGTACAAGCAGATGCATACATACACACATACATACATGCATACATCCATACATGCATACATCCATACCTACATGCATGCATCCATACATCCATACATCCATACATCCTTAAATCCATACATCCATACATCCATACATCCATACATCAATACATCCATGCATCCATCCATCCATACATCCATACATCCATACATCCATGCATCCATGCATCCAGACGTCCATACATCCATACATCCATACATCAATACACCCATACATCCATGCATCCACACATCCATACACCCATGAATCCATACATCCATACATCCATCCATCCATACATACATACATACATTACATAGATTACATACATAACATACATTATTTACACTATATGCATTACATACGCTACATACAGTGTATACATTACATACACTGCATACATTGCATACATTGCATACATTCCATAAATTGCATACATTACATACTTTACATACACTACATTCATTACATACAATACATATATTACATACATTACATTGCATTTACATTACATTACATTACACTACATACATACATACATGCATACATACATACATACTTTCATGCTTACATGCTTACATGCTTACATGCTTACACGCTTACATGCTTACATGCTTACATGCTTACATGCTTACATGCTTACATGCTTACATACATAACATCAAATAACATACATGACATACATACATTACATACATTACAAAACTTACATATATTACATTCATTACTCACGTACGTTACATACATTAAATACACTACATACATTGCATACATCACATTCATCACATACATTACATACATTACATACATTACATAATATAAATTTATATATATATATATATATGCATTGCATGCATTACATACATTACATTACACTACATACATCACATACATTACATTCATTTCATTACATACATTACATACATTACATTCATTACATACATTACATACATTACATGCATTACATACATCACATACATTACTTTACATCATATTACATCAGATCACTTCACATTACATCACATACATTACATACATTACATGCATTACATACATTACATACATCACATACTCACATACATCACATTACATCACATCACTTCACATTACAGTACATACATTACATATATTACATGCATTACATACATTACATACATCACATACTCACATACATCACATTACATCACATCACTTCACATTACAGTACATACATTACATATATTACATGCATTACATACATTACATACATCACATACTCACATACATCACATTACATCACATCACATTACATTACATACCCACATAGCTACCTACTTACCTACATACCTACATACCTACCTACCTACCTACATATATACACACATACATACAAGAGACCCCCCACATTCCCACAGGGGGGAGGGGAGAGACCCCCCATTCCCACAGCTGGCGGGGGAACCATGACCATGACGGGGGTTGGGGTTGCAGGCCTGTACATTTATACATATGTATATATATATATATATACATCTTTCTTGTCACTGAGCTTGGCTCGCCTTTAGTCTTTGGCTAGACTCCTGGAGGCGGCGATGGAGAGAGGGAAAAAAAAAAACACACACACATATATATATATATATATATACGTATTCATGAATGTGTATATCGCCCAGTGCTCGGGAATCACCCAGGCCATGAAGAGATTCCTGTTGCATGGCTGCAGACATTTTGCTTGCTGCCCTGCAAAAAAGAATTCGTCGGGAAACTCCTGGAAAACCGCCAGGCAGTTCATACACAAGGGATTTAGAACTTAAATTGATGTTTAAGGAATAATTACATGGATTATTTTTTATAATGTTTGGGGAATACGCGTTTGCTCCCATCATTTCAGGAGGAACGGCTAAGACTTCGTCAGATTGGTTTTGCCTGTCACTAACAGGCGGCATGACATGTCAAACTTATATACATAGACTAATATTGATTTCTGATGATTTAGAGTCTTTAGTATTGCGTAAATGTATGTTAAATATGTTAACATACATCATACTTTAGATATTGATAAATTTCATGATGGCTAAGTTGGCAAGACACACCAGCTTCCAAATACATCCTATTCGCATGGTTTGGGAAAAACCCAGCATGGCCCTTTTCTTGTGCCAAGGGCTGAGTTGGTGAAGGAAGATCCTGTGGAGGTTTTTGCAAGTTACTGGCTGGCAGCGGTATGCAAGTTGCACAAGGACCGTGAGTATTTTAGCAATCCCCACTTCATGGCGGAAAAGTATCGAACTAAATTAGGGATTTCCGGCAAACCATGTTACCAAAGGGTAAAAGTACAATAAAGTACAGATGCTGGTCAAAGCAACTTGTCCAGTGGAGCAGCCATGAGCAGCCACTTCCCACTCAGGATCACTTCGGTTACCCTCCTGCAAAAGAGACTTGATTACCGAATAGAGAAAAATATTGGATTCATACCCTGTTTAAAGCGACCTTGAGATGGCGAGAGAGAGAATTGCACCATTTACAGAATATTGATTCCTATGAAGACTGGGGATTCTCCAGCCAGCCGTTGGCTGATTTAGCGGAGACGCTTAAGTCATCCCTCCCACTGCGCCAGGAGTGGCGTGAGCTTTGTGCGCGAGACCCCGACGCAAATTTGTCGTGTTCCTTCAACCGAGTCTATGAGTATGTCGCTTGTTTGGAAAACAACATAATTCCATTGGTTGAGGGATCAGTTGGAAATGTTTAGGTGGAAATATATGCTATGTTGACGTGTTATATCTGGCGAAATAGTTGGTCCTATAGTCTTGCGTTATAAACATGCATAATATGCAAACTATATATATACAGAATACCTCCAACAATTTCCCCTACAAAATCAAACATGTTAACATTTGGCACAGCCTTTTTTGTGGGAGATGGATGGGTATTTTGAATCATCTCCAAGCAGGTTTTTGATTTGTAGAGGGGCATGTTTGGGATCACTTTAGAGGACACCTTAAGCCATGTTTTTGCTTTTGTAGTGTTTTGGGTTTTCAGAACATTAAACCATTTTGTAGAAGGGTCGTTTGCCCCAGGGCCCGAGGTCCCAGCAAAGGTGGGGTTGAGTGTTTGGATTTTGTAGGCCTGAACATTTCCTGTTCAAATGCTATGTTTTTGGTTTTGTAGAGGCCGCTTTTGTGTTTTCCAGAAATCTGTCTACAAAATCTGACGCCCCAACCCCGCCAGGTCATTTTTTGGAGGTATTAACTATATATATATAGTATGCCCGTCCGTTCTTCCAATGGATTTTCATGGTAGCAAAGCTTGGTGCCCATGAAGTGATTTCCCGAAAATGTGATTTTCTCCAAAGATGTGGACACAAAAAACAGCTGGAAAATCACGCTCACCGGGTGCTTCAGGGTTGCTAGAAATAGTTCCATTAATGTTGGCTCATGGTTTCAGCCACATCATTTGATTTACCTTCCAGTAAATAAGCATAGACCGCATAGATGTTGGAAAACCCACTGTTTGTAGATCATTTTCCTCACGGGAAATTCCACATATTTCCACATCTACTGTATCTTAATTTATCCTAGGGTAACTCTTTCAGTTCTAGCTGCAACCAACCTTTGCTAATATGGGAAACCCCATGCCATAAACCTACCAAACTTGGGGATGGTTTGAATCGCACCCATAGAAATTGTATGAAATTGTGATTTAGGAATGGTTTTTTGGGTTTACCACATGAATTGATTTCCGAAATGGGTTTAGGGAAATGGATCATTGACGACGAACCACCTTGACATCAACGGGTGCTCTGTAAAAGCTCCGTGCAAGGTGGGTGTAGCCGTGGAGAGCGCGCTAGCGACCACGAGTCAAGATCGTCTCAAGGTGTTGGCAGAAGTCAACGCCAGGCTCGAATATTGTAGAATGCTTGCGGCTTGTCAGACAGGATATCAGAATATCAAGATGTCTACCAACAAAAACCTGGATTGTCCATATCTCTCTGGGGGCCAGCAAAATTGGAAAGTGGTTGTAACATGTTGTAACCACCCAACATGGGGATTCTAACTCATTATTTTGTTTACCACATTATTTTGTTTACCAATGTGGTATTGTCGCCATTTTATATACGGTAATATTCCTGGATTCGGGGATTTACCCACAAATATCTGGTGACATGGGGGTATTTCAGCGGATACAATTGCAACCGCAAGTTGGAGAGTTTACAGCCACCTCATTGGGGAAAGGGAGCCCTATGCGCAATGATAAAGTATTATAAAGTATCAGGAGCGGCCTTAAGTCTGGTGCTGGATCGTAAAAAGAACATCCAGATTCGATGGCCAGGGGACAAAGCAAGCCAGCTTGAGGAGAACAATGTCCAATGACATAATTATATAGTTAGTTAGCTCCCCATTGTTTTGATCATTTACCGGAGGGTAAATCAAATCAAGTAATTACGGGTCAAATGATCTCATCATGTTTAGGTGAAGATGTGAACTTTCAACATTTTAGAAGCTTAAAAAACATGTGAACCACGTGAATGCCCATGGTTTCTCCTAAAATCCCTCAACTCAGTGACCCGAATCGCGCAGATCCACCGTGGTTAGCGGCCACAATCTCCTCGTCCGTGCCTGGGCGAGATCCAGGCTGATGACAGATACCGGAAGTTGGCGACATGATGTTGTGTTGATAGCATTGCCCAAATAGATACAAAAGTAACTGTTTAAACAAGTAATCAAAAGTACAGTTAAAATCTCAAATAGGTACGTTTCACATACACGCTTTGAGCAGGAAATTTGCCACAATGTATGAACGCAATGCGGTGCTTGCAAAGCGGACTGAAGATGAACTGATGAACATCAAAACAATCAACCGTGCAGCATTTTAAACATGTATAAACATTAATTTCACAGAATGCAGCTTGACTCGGAGTAAACATTACATCCAAAGCAAACATTCTATCCAAACCAAACTACAGTAGACGGACAAACCCCGCATCCATGAATTGTAGGCTACCCCCTGTCCCCCCAAATTTCAACGTTATGGTTCCATATCTTTGTTCCTGATCTTAGGGTTTGATTTATTTCGTCCATTCGAAAAAGCGAACCAAACCAAAAAAACAACATTGTAATTGGGGGTGCGGGGGTTTATTGGATTACAAGGGTTTGAACAAGTCGTCCATCTACGGCAGGATGTTTTTTCCCCTGGATTTTTGATAAAGTATGGCAGACTACGGATGTTATAGCTGACATCTCCAAGATTTAACATCATTGTTTTTTTTTTTACGTTGATAGGTTGGAGCCCCAGGAAATCATGTTGATTTCACATGTTTTTCCCAAGGAGTGAGCCTCCCTGGGTGGTCCAAAGGGGTAGAATTTAGAGAGTGAAGAATCTTTTTTGGGATTTCTATATGGTTCGGTACCTGATGGTTTTTTGGTGCAGACCCTGAAATCGTATGGCGTAAAACCTGATTTTCTTTCTATACATATTGTAAGATTGGAAAGTACCCGCCATGTACTGGATTTAAGCAGCAAGAATAGGATATAAACGGAGATCTGACCAGGTAACCATCAACCAAAAATGGACGAAGGTCCAGCCACAGCCAAGGTGTTCATAGCAGCGGCAACAAAGATACACAGATACATACACGTAGGGTCTCCGAAACACGTATAATTCTGCAGCTTTAATTTCTATGTGTTTTGGATCTATTTAGTTTATTTGTTTGACGGGTTTTCCAACTTTTAGTCCTACTCCGAAGAAGCGCGCTTTCTTGGAGCGTTTAACCACTATTCTGAACCGCTAAGGTGCCGAGTCGCTTGTTTGCAGGGATGATCTTTGCCACTGGAAAAGAACGTAGAAACGCCTCTTGAAATTCAGGACGTAATGCTGGTCATGGTCAAATTATATGTGTTATAGTAATACGATGTATATAATATGAATCCCAGGTAGCAATGAACTTGCAAGATTCAGTGCCGTTCCATGTTGTTTTTTTTCGGGAAAAAAACAACAAAACGGCAATGGTTCCAACGGCTACTTTACCTCATATCTGAAGGTTGGAAGATGCTGATCACCGCATTTTGGTACATCCTGAAATATCCTGAAAGTGACCCAAGCAGCAACATTTTTTTCACACAAAAGCTGCCAGCAATTTTCCTTTGTGGTGGCTTTAGTGGACCCAGCCGAGGTCCAAAGTCTTGGTCGGAATGGTGAAGATGGAACGTTTCTTCTTATGTCTCGGTGCCCTGCTGCAGACAAGTTGCCACGCCAACTGCACTTGTTAGGAAAATGGTGGGAGCCAACAATCAATGGATTGGCTGAAGGGAAAACATACAGGAAACCACGGTTTCTCCCATGAAATACAGGGAGGTCCTGCGATTTTTCCTTTCCACCACCAAGTCAAATTGCGTCTAAAGAATGGTGATGGAGGGGTCAAGTCAATAATTGGCCAATGCTAAGTCATGCTAAGCTATCCATGTCCATTGTTGGGCGCTGTTCAAAGGGTCTGTTTTTGGTAGTCCCTGATGCCATTTGATGCCATAATGTCGGCCGAGCCATGATTGATCAAGTTGTGAACAGAGACTAAATATTAAAATTTTATAAACAAGGAATCAAGGAAAAGGATCTGACTGCATATTGAACCACCCTGTCAAAATTGCTGCTGAGGTTATCGGCCAGGGTCAGTCACAGACGAGCTTGAAGAGGATCCTGGGACAATGATTGTCAATGATGGTGGGTCAAACTTCGATGGCTACTTTACATTCCTCTATATAAATCTCTTGCAAAACCTGACCAGCCTGACCAACTATCTTTTCCGGCAGGGTAATTCTGAAGCCGGCCCATTATTTGTCTGGGGATTGGAAGAAGATTGTACCATTAGACATGGCATTGATTTCTCAGTTATTTTCCACGCCGGTGATTATGTGTCTCAAGTGGGATCTCCACACAGCCGTGATCATGATGCAGCCAAAATGGATGTAGGTTTTTACTGGCTTAGAAAGCCCTAAAGAATGAGGACGGCTTGCAATAATTCAATTGAGTAGCTCATGGTAGCTCGTTTCCGTGGTGGCAAGTTGTCGATCGGAGTAATGTGGTAAACCGCAATAATAAACCATCCGTAACCATCCTCAAAATCACCACAACAGGTTTCTATAAACCATCCCCAAATGATAGGTTCATTCTTGGGTTTCCCACATTATTCGAGTTTTTAAGATCGTTTCATCTTTGATCTCTTTCAGTGAAGTATCAACAACCCATCACCCCATGTAACTCTCACCTGGAATATGATTGACATTTTCAGGTCACCCCAGTGAACCCAGCCTAGGACAAACACATCTCAGGCCGCTTGGCACCCGAAGAGAGTATTCCGTAGTATTCCGATTGTTGGAGATGGTTGCACTTGCTAGTGAGCCCCAAGAGGACACGAGAAAACATGGATTTCGGATGATTTCAGGGATGATTCAGAGATTTTATAGATTTTTGGGCCCAGCGCAGTACTATGCCGATCTATGCCGCTATCGGTATACGGGATTCACCGGGCAATTTCATCTCCAGAGGGTCCCCGACGTCCCGGACCAGGTTTCTCGACAGAAAGTCTCTTGGCTGCTGGGGCATTGGTGACGATGAAACATGACAATAACATACAATAACATACAATAACTATAGTATATCTATATACTATATTATATACATTTGATATATTTGATATATCTATGACTACTTGTGACTAGCTATGACTATGTATGACTACAGTATGTCTATCTACGACTGATAGTCCTAGATTAGATAGTCATAGATTAGATAGCTTATAGTGTGACCTATGTATATATCTAATTATATCTAATCGATCCAACAGCTGAAGAGCTTTCCTTCATCCCCAAACGAACTGAGCGAAAAACGAGGTCCCACAGAGGATGTTTCGATGGCCGTGCCTGAGCTCATTCATTCTGCAGAGGTGGGATGATGAAGGGATCAGCAGGAAAATCCATGGAAAGTTGTGGCAAAAATAAAGGGCTTCCCATCGTTTCCTGTAGGTTGAAAACCCTGAAAAACTTATTGATGTATGTTGTGTTTACACCAGCACCATAGATCCTGATATACTAGTTAATTATACTAGAAGATTCATGCATCTACATGCTATAGATTGCAAGTCTTACTGACCAACCTGTAGAGCCATTCCTCTCTCGGTCACAGAGTATGGCCAAAGCTTGATGATATGATCTTGAAAAAAACAGTTGTACTAGCATATTGCACGTTGTAACCCCACAAGATCCCACATACAAGCACATAAAACCAAAGAAAATTACATGTTAATCAAGTCATACAAGTAATTACTCACCAAAACGCCAGTTTTGCGGCATGTTTCCAAGCCGTTTCCCATCGTTTCCCATACTTATCCTGGCTTCAACCGGTAGGTCTACCAGCTATACCGCGGTGCATGTGGCAAAGAGGGCGACCTTATCGCTGAGCGATGTCGCCTGTGGGTCCCGAAGCGGGAGTTTGATGGGGAATCTGCTGGGGGACGGGTTGGTGTATATATATATATATATATATATGTTTTTTAATTTATTTACACCTATATGATATAGCCTATATGATCTATATGTGTACCATGTTCAGAGGCCATTTTGAAGATAGAATTATATAGGTTTTAACATAGAACCAAACTATCATCACAGGTTGGCCTTGAACAATTTTGACAATTACATGACGATCTTGAAGTTCTGCAGGAAAACCATGTGACCTACGAATGTGGCATGAACGACCTTGCCGCACAAGTTGGGGAAACAAATCATGCTGGTGAGCTAGCAGCTGCTTGGGGGTGTTCCTTAATAAGTTGGATACCCCTTAGTTATAGAGCTTTATAACGGATTGTATCACAATTTGCTGGTGTCATAAGTCATAAGCATGCTTGCACCCATGTACAACCCCAGCTGCGTCCACATCCCAGGTGGATTTTCCGAATTTGCGCATTGCCATCGCTGAGTATGACCAGCCACCTGGCTGCAGCGGCAACCATTTCATTATGCTTAGTAAATCAGTCCTGGGTCATCCCAAAAACACCGGCTTGCATGGCTACAAGCCACATTGGCTACCTTTTGATGCCATAATATGTTATGTTGATCAATGATTGGCTGCAAGCAATCCCAGTCCATCAGAATGGAGCGCCAGGCCTGCCTCGCCTCGGAATTGCATTCCGCTGCTGGACATCTCGTGGTGTCACTGTGAAGATGCCGCCGAACCAGACGCTGAGGATACCCAGCCGGCGATTGGAAATCGTAGCCAAAGATTTGTGGGGACTTGGTCAATGAAAATGGGTTTTGTGGAGTCTGGGACTCAACAAGTCAATAAGTTAGTCTTTTGTATGAAGCATCCGCTGGCACCCCTTATGACCAAGGGATGCAAATGGGCTTCCCCGTTCTACCGGACAGCTATGAGTCATATTGAACAACTGAAGGAAATATGATTATGGTAAGTTCAATATTGGCCAAGGACGCCAGATTGATGGTCACAGGGCAGGGATCATGATCAAGCCGACCGGAAGATCTTCCCATCAGCCTCCACTTGAGTAAAAGATCACCCGACTGCATTGAATTAGGAGAAAACTCAGTAATCAGCCCATCATGTCTATGTTTTGTTCGATATTGGGTACTGCTACAACAATGGCTAACCCAATAATAATGATGATGAGTATCCCAAAATCCTATCATCATTCTTTTTTGCTCGTTATAGGACCCATGAATCCGCACCCGGCAGGAGCCCGTATATCGGCTGGATGTGTACAGTTTGCCTTCTGGGAGTTGTGGCCAACAGCGTCCCTCTCCCGGGCAGACACCACGAATTCGTGTCTCTTGACCGAAAAGATTTGGCGGTAGCCGTGATGACATGGGCAACAGAACCAAAACCAATTTTTCATGTTTTCAGTACTAGGACCATACTATTTTTGGGGTTATGTAAATTTCTTACAGTATATATATATAACACGTTTCAACAGGGCTTGAAGCCTTTTTGTTTCTTGTGGGAAACGTTTCGTTCCTTTGTGGCTGCGGGCCAGGGGGGGCTGAGTTTGTCGAATATGAGGTTTCCGGGTCGTCGTCCTCTTTGAGAGACTTTGGTGTCTCGGCAAGGGAGTGTGAGTGTGATTCATATTCTTGGTATGCTTCAGAATTTCACATTAAATGTATAATTATATATATGTGTGTGTGTATGAATATTTATCCATCTATCCATATGTACATCTGCCGACAAGCACGCTGAATATATATATATATATATAATATGTACATGTGCATATATACGCATGCATTGGCGTGTATATATATATACATTGTACATATGTTTGAAGGGCATCCAGCCATCACAAGGTGGGACGTATCCCGTTGTGAGGCGATAAAGGGGATGATGTATCAAGGGCTCGAATTGCAGCTACTTTGGTGTGAAAATCTAAGGCACCCGGGTTCTGACAACATAGAAGTACCTAGTTAATTGAGACTTCACGAGCTAGTTTTTGCCTGGTGCTTTCAATTGAAACCATGAAGTTCCTCATCAAATAAGAGTTCCTGAACATGTTCCATAGACCAATCGATACATGGGTTGGCATCCCTAGACCTAATTATGAAGGGGTCACACATGGAAAAGCATACAATGGAGTTTATTGAAGCCATTTTTGGCTGACCTGGCTGATTGCTTCAATACCACTTGAGATATCCCCATATCTGTTTGCACCCTTAAAAAACCGTGTTACTCGAGAGAACTATCCACATTGGCTCTTAACTCTTAAGTAAATATATATATATATATTGGATATAAATTTATAAAGAAAATGTATAAGATAGATTGGACTGGGTGGACACAGAGAAACAAATATAAGCATATAGCTGGCTATGCTTTGATGAATGCAAAGCTGTGTCAACACGGTAGCCATGAGATGCCATGGCTCTGGTCCCCAGGCCTAGCGCTACAAAAGCTGCTGAAGTCTCGTGATGAAGAGGGCCGCGGCCGATTGTATCTGGCCTTTATTCGGGGAGACGTGCTGCCCCCATCATCAATAACCCAATGCGTCCAGTGACCATCATATATGGGAACCGGGGGGACGCCAGTGAGGCTGGTAACAGTTCCATTCCAAAATGATTCCAGGAACCAGGCTAATAATGTGTGGAATTTGTTAAGATTGTTGGGTGTATGCGCCCTTGTGTTCCCAAAGGCCACATCATCAATAACGATAATTACCAATATATCATAAACATGTACTATATATGCATATATATATACATATACCTATTCTGTATATACTATTTACTCATGCTACTAAAAAAACTAATAATAAGAATAATAATCATCATTATCATCACCACCTTGGACAAATTTCTAACTTCCTTCCGTCAATGACCAGCTGAGGTATTTCATTCAGAAGCAGCTCTTTCAATATCTCTGGAGGTCCGTGCAGCTCTCTGTCAGCGAGGACTGCACGGCTCGTGGCCTTGGTTTCTGAGATACTGACAGTCTTTGGATATTTTGGGCCATACATATTTATTGACATACATACATACATACATGCATGCATACATACATACATGCATACATAGATACATAGATACATAGATACATACATTACATTACATACATACATTACATTACATTAAATTACATTACATTACATACATACAAACAATACATATATACACAAGTAAACTGATATAATGATATGTATATATATATACATATGTATAATGATATATATGTTTATTCATTTACTTATATTTATATATAATGATATATAATGAATTGTAATGATATATATTGACTTTTAATGATAGAAAATGTTATATAATATTAAAATGATATGTATTGATGTTTTATGATATTTAATGATATTTAATGATAGTTACTAATATTTAATGATATTTACTATAACTATGTATAATGACATATAATGACATATAATGATTTTTAAAGATATATAATGATATATAATGATATGTAATGATTTTTAATGATATATAAAGGTATATAATGATATATAAGGACATGTGTATATATATATATATATATTCATGATATATATATATATATAATGATATATATATAATGATATATATAATGATATATAATGACAATAAATATGTATATATATTCATGATATAATATTTAGAGTATTCATATGCCACTCAGATTTGTTGACTTTGGAGCAGGGCAAGGCATAGCAAGGCCTACTTCAAAGGCGGTGCCTTTGGAGAAATTGAGATCACCTGTTGGGAGTGGGTGGACATGGTATAGATGGTATATAGTGTGGTTCCTAATTCCCTCCGGTCCATTCTAATTTATAATCATTATATCACGTTATATCACCTTATATCATCTTATATCACCTTATATCACCTCATATCACCTTATATGAGTAGCACTATCACTTTATTGCAATATCACTATATATTTTGTTGTTAGCAACATGGTTGAGTCCGAAATTGGAAGGTCGTTTCTCTTTGGGTAATAGTAAACATCACCTAGACGTCCTGGACTGCTGCATCGGTTCTGTTTACTTTTGGATCCCACACATGCTGTAATTTATATATAGGGGCATGGGATGGCTTTCCACAACCCAACAAGTCCCAATACGCGGTTGATGATATGGATGGTTAGGATATGTTAGGATTAAAACCTTCAAACGATGTCAAAACAAAAAAACAACTCACTACAGTGAGTAAACAAGGTCAACAAAGGTTGGAGCGCTAGAGCCATTGGGGATGAATAAACCGGAAAACATGGTGGCGCCCAGCTTCGCCTCCAGGATCGCTTGGTCGAAGCCCAGGCGGTTTTAGCCTTCAATTTAAATCCAAAGGACCGGACGTTGGAAGATGCTGCCCCCTTAGGAAGAAAATGTGACCGGTGCTTTCCTATCCAGATGGTAGGCTTGATGTTTCTCATTTTTCGGACGTGCAAAAAATCAATGGTGAGCGCGATTTATGATTATGTTGTTGGGAAGAGTGGCTCACACACCAACTAGACATAACTAGACTATTTTTTGCATGGAGGTTGGGAAAGGAGGATGAATGCGATAAAATCTAGGTCTGGCTTTGTCTGAAAATCTGGCGGGTGCTCCAAAAACAATGGTTTATCATATTTTATCATCATTCACCCACTTAAATGAAAAGAAGGAGTACCCTCTGGTTATTTAACATAGCTATGGAAAATTGCCCATTTACAGATGATTTTCCCATTAAAACCCTCCATTTATAATGGATTTTCCATAGCTATGTTAGTCATAACCAGATGGTAACCATGGCTAACCCCTTTTTGGAGACCCCCTTTTCACCACAAAAAATAGGGCGTGGGACCATGGGGATCAAAAAGAAGCCATCCACAGAAATTGGAACCATATTTGTTTTCACATAAATCTAAATCTAAGTCCTATCGGATTAACATATATTAGCAGTACTCCCATCCCCCTAATATTAAAGCCCATTGATCTAACATGATCTCGGATCAACAGTACTCCGATCAGTGTTTCCACATAGAAAGCCAACATCGATCCAATCAGTGCGATCGCTGCGCCAGCGCCAGGATGGTATTGCCTATGTGAAACGTCACTTGTTTCGGATTGAGTCAATGATGAAGTCAATATCATCAGTGATTAACTATAATTGATTATTAATGATTAATTATTGATGAAGTCAATTGATCATGATCGGTTGAGACCAAAATAGACCAATTGTTTCTCAGAAACTGGCTAGCCGGCTAGCCACAGTTGCATCGGCTGCATGAAGGCCCAAACAGCCAACACAATATGTACCCTTTGGTAATCAAAGAAGATTTACTGGAAGTTTTGAATGTACGTCGATGATTTTCCAAGTATATGAAACCTCCATTTTCCACGTCATTTCCCAGCCCAGCCAGCCATGTTTGCGTGTCCCTTCACGCAACCTGATGAAGATTTGAGGAAAGCTACATAAAAGCACCGAAGATGCATCCGGACAGCAGATAGGTCAATGACTTGAGCTGGTCGATACACGCAGAAGCTGGAACAGTTCTGACCAGATAATGTGGTAAACCCAATAAAAAACTCATCCCTGAAAACTCCACAAATGGGTGGTATACCTGGTATAAACCATCCCCAAATGATAGGATTAGTTTTGGGTTTCCCACATTACTCATGATTTCAAATATCTCTCACCTCCAAAATGTCTGGCCATGCGGTCAGTTTTGCAGGAACACATGAAGTGAGTGAATCACATTTCACTATATATATATATATATATACAGTATGTATTATATATATATGTGTGTGTGTGTCTATGTAGGATATATATATGTGTGTGTGTGGATGTATGATAATGTATGATATATATATATATGATCGTATATGTATACGTGTGTGCATTTTGCAACCTATTAACAATCATAAGCGCTGCTATGAAGTCATGTAACCCTTGATATTTAAGCCGCAAATATTGTGGTGGAGCACCCCAGATATTCCATGGCGGTCTTAAGTTTTACCATCCATTCAACGCTGATTGGACCCGGAAAAGCACCAAATCCCATTAGATCTCTATGATATTACCATTTTTGGTGGTTAAATGATGTTAAATGCTCAGTTGTGTGGGAATATATTCCTTTGGTGGTGATATTCCATGATTATATCCCGGATTAATTCCCATTGTATATCCAGTATACCGCCATTTTCATTGGTTTGGTACGGTTTGGTTAAATCCGATGATATCCAGATATATCCCCCAAACAATATTCATATCGCATAGTTTGCTGATTTTTCTCACATTGTGGAGCTCCTAAAGCATAGCCTGAGGAAATTGGTGAATGGCTTTCACAAGTTTGCACCGAGAAGGGAGGCCTTGATCCAACCATGCTAGGACGGCGCGTTTCCGCGCTGTGGAGAACAGGGAAAGCGAAACCAACATCTTTACTCTCTGGTAAACTAACATAACTATAGAAAATCACCATTTTAATGGGAAAACCCACTATAAATGGCCATTTTCAATAGCTATGTTAGTTTACCAGAGGGTATTCATCTGAGAAACTCAATAACAATAAACCTAGCATATCTGTGCTGATAATACTTACCATCTATTTAGGATGTGATCTCGGGGATGATTTATTAATCTACCATTGGGTTTACCAGATTAAGAGTGATTGGACGTATTTCCACGTCAATCTAATACCATGATCTACAGGAAGTAGTGCCCCTGACTAAAGAGTTGTATACCCCCCGACATCCTGGCTTGGTTATTTAGTATTTATTGGATCTACTGTAGGAATTTCTAGGTCTGTAGCATTTCAGTCCCGTAACAGGGATTGATGGGAATTGTAAGGGGAATCATCCCCAAATGGCCGGTTTCATCTATTTTCAGGCTAGTGATTTATAGTTCAGCCAGAAATTCTATCAGAATTCCAACATCTTAACCAACTAGTTGACTAGTTAGTGCTGCCATTTCCAGGACATCCTTCCTATTTTTCCATTTTGTTTACGCACAAACATCGTCCCGTCAGCGTCAATCCACCCGCGGAAGGAGACTACTTCAGTCGACGAGACACCCTGCCGATCTTTTGGAGTTTCGTTCGACGGATCGCCAGGGAGCCCAGTGGCCAGATACTATAATTACTGTGTATATAATATATATTATATATATATTATATATTTATAATATATATATATATATCATCCCTTTCCCCTAATACTAAACGCCCCCCCAAATAATAAACACCTCAGGTAGTTTTTATTATTGGGGGTATTTATTATTAGGGTTCCCCCTAAGAGTACTGTAAATTTAATACCCTAATGTAAAAAAACTATTTTGTTCTATTTCAAAATCGATTAGATATCCTTTTAAAAACTAATTAAAATATTGCCAAAAAAATGATTTCGAAGCTTTCCCCTAATATTATTTTTAAAACCCTAATATAAATCTATTTTGTTCTATTTCAAAATCGATTTGAATTCCTTTTAAATTCTAAGTAAAATATTGCCAAGCAATTGATTTCGAAGCTTTCCCCGAATATTAAATTAAAAGCCTTAATATAACATACATTTGTTTGACCTTAAAAGACGGACCCTAACAAAAAAACACCAATGGGTTGACTAGTTTTTATTAGGGGGTGAAACCCTGAAATGGTAGCTTCATGTTTCAATTGTTTTCCAAGGGAGATCAATTAAAAATCCAATTGGCCAAGCTAAAATTTTTAAAACTTGGAGACGGACCCTAGCTTTTAATAGTTTTATATATATATATAGAGTACATACATATGTACTGTATATATAATATGTGAATATATTATGTCAGTAATGTATATATAATATATGTAATGTGTATAAATATATATATATATATATACACATTACATATATATATATATACACATGTAACTATATTTATAATTGTTTGTAATTGTATGTTGATATGTATTCATTTATTTCTGTGTTTATTTATCACATATATGCACATGGGTATCATAGGTATATTTCCGTTGACTTCGAAAAACCCAGGAATTCTCCAAGATGGACATCGTGGGCGCCTTGCGCCAGCTCTTTGATACCTTCAAACCCGGCGGCGAGGGACAGGCGCCGGGTGTTCCGGGTTCCATGAGATCCATGGTCTGTGGAAAGTCGATGGATTGGTCAAGATGGATTGAGGGATGTAGGTAGTGACGTTGCCTCGTTGTGTTTGTTTTCTGTAAAAAGCGTGGCTGCTGAATTTCTCGCCATCTATCACTTGAACGTGTTTCGGCATAATGGTATTTCCGTCAAAGCGTGATATTTTGCCCACAACATTGCACCTTCTGCAGCCAGAGACATATGTCTTTAGATCAATCCAAGGATACTAGATAGAGAATTGCAAGCTAAAGATCCAAAATAATCCGAGAGAGAGAGAGACCTCAAGATGTGTATTATTTTTTCCTTTATATATACATATATGTATAAATATATATATATTCATTATCACCATAACCATAATATCCCAGATGTCTCTTTTCTCTTCCATTCGCAAGTTCACCTCAGCGTGACCAGGTGATCACCAGGATCTTGGAGCATTTTGCCGAATCCTATTTTCAGTGCCTTGTCGACCTTGGATCGGAACAATAAACACATCCATGGTTTTTGATGAGTTTCACATGGAAATTGCACATGTTTACAATATATATATATATAGACATGTCTATTAATATAATAATTAATGTTATTTTGAATAGCAATAAAAAGCTAATGATGTATTTATATTTTATATGCAATCTATCTACTACAGTATATATTATATATAGTATATTATATATATTATATACAATATATATTTATATATAGTACGCAGAGTACTCTGCATCTTAATGTCCATATATCTTTGTATTTGCATATGTATATGTATATCTACAGGATTTTCCCGCGTTTGCTTGCTTGAACCACTTCTGCAAATAGATGCCGAAATCTGACGACTGGAACATTGGGACATAGATGCCGAGGAGCGTACAGTACCATGATATTGTGTAGGTTTGTTTTACTATTATGATCCATTATGTAACCCCATGGGCCAATTTTGTGGGCAACTTTTGTATTCAAAATGGCTATTCATTACTGTTGGGGCTACCTCCATAGATTTTCTGAAACGCGCATATTACATGCATTATGATGATATGTTTTTTGAGTGTATTATGTATATTATGTATACGTTGTCTATACTATGCATACTGACATACATATCTACATATATATATATATACACACATATTTACAGGGTTACATACACACACACATATATATATATATATATATTCCCGAAATTTCCCATCTATTTGCCGAACTTCGCTTGCTTCAACTGCTGACAATCGAATTTTAGGCAGTGGCAAGCCGACCCATCGGCAGTGGAGCCGACGACGGCGTACAAGAACGCAGACACCGTTTTCCAGGTGTCGGCACGAGTCGGGACGAGTCGGGACGAGTCGGGACGAGTCGGGACGAGTCGGGACGAGTCGGGACGAGTCGGGACGAGTCGGGACGAGTCGGGACGGGCTGTTCTTCCCCGTTTAAAGTATCTTCAATCCGTAAATTCACGAATAATTTTTTAAAATTTGTTCAGATTCTTTCCAAGCAGCACATTCAAGACTCATATTTCATATAACTTTCAGAATCTCAGAACCAGCAGGCCTGCGCAACTGGGCATTCGTTGGACTGTTTGGGTCCAAAGAAGTTGGAATCTTCCAAGTTCCAAGCATCGAAGATTGGGATCTAATCAACCTTGAGGAACTGGGGAAAATATGGTGTGGATCCTGTCACCTTGCTGTTCACAACCCAATTCGATAACATGTTGCTGTGGATCTACGATTTTTTTTAGTCTTTGTGGCACATCGCAAGACTGAAATCCAGAAAAAAAATGGGTAAAAACAATGTGATACAGTGTGATACCATACCAATCCATACCATATTTTGCTTTTTATTCACATTCATGTGCCAGGTTTTGAAACCTCGCCAGGTTTCCAGGCTTTTGATCCATTGATGTGGTGAATTTGATCAACATCTGAAAACTGTGCCAGATATGGGTACACATGGTACACCATACAGCTGGTATTTGACAGGGATTCATGTTATAAACCCATCCAATTCTGGATGCATCCACCATAAGCTCAAGTTTTTCAGCCTAGCGGGGCCTAGCGGCTGGTTGAGCTGAATCCAGGAACGGTCCACAGCATGGTGACATATTTTTCCCATCATATTGGGAATAATCATTAATGATAGTAGATGATCATTAACCTATGGTAATGGTAATAATTAGTAATGGTTAACCAATGGTAATAATTGCCATCATATTGGGGATGTCATCATCCCAACTGACGATCTCATATTTTTCAGAGGGGTAGGTATACCACCAACCAGTAAATATTCATTTTGGAGGGTGGAATTGATTTGAGACTGAAGGGAAGGGGTTGAACTTGAAATGACGACTCAAAGCTTCCAAGGAATATTTTTGGAGCACCGTTTTTTGGGGTGATAGGTCACGTTATCCAAATGTGACATGATGGGTCTGTTGAGGGTCGTTCAGCCGATCATTTCTTGTATCAAACCAGCCATGGTAGCCCAATGGAAGGTTTTTACTGGAAATTCCTCATTGAAATGGATGATTTGGGGGTACCCTTATTCTAGCAAACCGCCATTGTCAAGCTTGTGCAGTGTCGCTTGCAGGTTGCTGTAAGTTGCTTGGTTGCATCCACGAATTTTACCACTCCTCCAGATTTGCCATTTGTAGCGGCCCCTCATGTCCCAACAGACAAAGCAGAAAAATCCCTGTGATTATACCTATCAAAGCTTCACCTCAACTGCACCCCAGCATCCCAGTTAGGTAAGTGGTTAAGAACTGCAATATCAGCCAGTTACAGAGGGTATCCCCCAGTGAGTTGTGGCTTCCAACCCGCTACTCAATCAACTCATGGCTCCCTGTGCCAAGAGGGTGCCTGGCCCCAGGCCTCATCATGTTGAACACCGGTCTTCACGTGGCAGCCAAGAAATTGGGCAACAAAGCAAAGGGCGCCAGCATGAGCCTGGAAGAATATATTGCCAACACCAGGCCGACCTAGCGATCGGAAACCCCACAAGTTGGCTAATATTTGAATTTGGGGTGAAAGCAATGGTTTCCTGTAGCTGTTCCCCTACGCCGGTCTGTTGATGTTTGATTTTTTGATCAGGCATGTCTTTGCCAGCCTGCTTCTTAGTTCTGACACTTGTCCCCCTCTCCAGTCAAAAAGCCATAACTGGTACGAAGATAGGAAAATGGACATATCGCAACTGAACATTGGAAGTTTGTCCACTAAGTTAGTCTCCCAAGATCTCCAAACCAGCTAAGTTTGTCAACGGGTCTGCCATCATCTGCCATCAGGCGATTGGTTTCAGCGGAAGAGGTCCCAGATGAGGCCTTAAGGGCTTGGTTTGAGGACATCAGCCGCTGGGCGCGGCGAAATGGACCAGTGGGGATGCCGATCATAGATTATGTTATCATGTGTGTAGACGTATGGATAGACAGCTTGGAGATATATCACTGGTTAAAGAAATCTTTATTATATTAGGTACATATATGTAATATGTATTAAAAAATGTGCACATGTTGCGAACGCCCATTGCTTCACCGACCGAGGTTGTACAGAAATTTCCGTGGAACCAATGCCGCGCACACCGTTTTCAAAGCTGCCGGTGCAGCCGAACATGGAGGGCTGGTACCTCGGACCAACTTGAAATTGGTAATGGAACATATATCATAATACCAAGAACAACACTTTTTTTTGTTTAAACCATGTTCTTGATATGGCGGTATATATAACTAATAATATAAATATATTATTTAATATATACAAATAATATATACAATATAATATATACAATATAATATTCACGATTTTTATATATACAATATAATATGTACAATATGATGTAAACAATATATTATATACAATTAATATACATATATATACAATATAATGTATAAATATAATATATAGAACTATAATATATATATATATAGTATATATATATAGTATACACACCATATATATAAAATACACATACAATATAATTTATATACGGCAACGACATTTAAATAGGAGGGCGGGCAAGACCGCGAGGCCCCGGAGGTAGCATGAAATACCAGTTCGTATATTTAAATGTAGTTACTGTATGTTTAAATGAATTGGATTCCGTATGTTTTAATGGCGAGACGGGCCAAGGAAAACCTTCCCAGAGGTAGTCTAAAATTCCTGTTCGTATATTTAAAAGTCCGTATATTTAGATGTAGTTACCGTAGATATATATATATATATATACACATACAGTATATTTTTATATTCAGTATGTTATTGCATTTGAGAATCGCTGTTCTTGGAGTTCCATGCTTGTCAATCAATCGACTAGGCACATGTCACAACGGTTCGGCTTTTGCCAGGCCTCCCGCCCCACCCTTCAAGCCAACATCATATCTCCCATTTGTGACAATCCCCCATTATGTGACGAATGAAATAGTTCCGACACTAAACCAAGGTAGAAAACGGGGGTATTCATTCTTGGGTCGAAACCATTAACAGTGACCCGATCGAAACCAATTTGAACTGCGGTTGACGCAGACCGAAACTGAAAATGACGTGCCTGAAAAAATCCCTCATCGTATTGTTAGGTGGCAATTATCAAGATTTACCGTGCCAATATTCATGCCATACTTCTCCCAGCTACGTGTTGACGTTTGGCACTTTGGGAACACCAAATCAGTGGAAGCCACGCTATAAACACGCGTAGCATGTATTTCACAAACATAATGGATACACATATGCCAAATTTATATCAAACCCCTAAAATGAGAGGGTCTACAGCACAAAAAGTATGAAAACTGCGCAGTGCCCATCACTGCAGGCTAGTGGCGGTTGTCAACAACACCAGCTTGCGATTTTGGGCAGTCTTGGCCGCTCTTCTACAGATTTGGTGCATGTTTTGGAAAATATTGAGTATCTAAATGAACATGCAAAGACCAGATTTGAAATCCGAGTTCACTGTAGGCGCATATGGGCTGTAATGTTTGGTCAGGCGAAAGGATCACAATCCTGTTTCAACAAGGGGCAGAATATAGTCCAGCAATGTCCAGCATGTCCAGTATGCCTCAATATCGCTTGAGAGCTTGTTGTGAATAAATGCTAGTCTCGGATTAAACTCACATAACTACGGAAGATCACCATTTCAATAGCAAACTGTTAGTCATTACCAGAAGGAAATCTCGGATGAAACTATCCAAACCAACGGAAGAACGCATCGTTTATAGAACCCGTGGTTGATGTTTGAACATTGAAGATCGTTTCAATATGTGGAAATATGTGGAAGATGATGGTTACTGTTAGTAAAGTAGTAATGAACCACCCATATTTTAAATGTTTTTAATACCACCCACAAAATTGGTAAATTTGAGGATGGTGGATCCTTTTCCTTCTTACTAACATTAGTGTATTGGTCACCCATCTTCAGACTCCAAAAGTTCGCCCGGCCCGGTGTCCCAGGTGCTGCAACGGATCTACCTCTTCTCAGATTCCCAGGGCAACTGGGCACGGGATCTAAGTGGATGAACACATCAACCGTGGGCTGACTAAAAACCGCAAAGAAGCTGACTGCGACCGTCAAATACAGTAAATAATATATGCTGATATGCTTGAAGGTTCAATTGCATGTGAAACTCGCTTTATTTGAATTTATTGGATTTTTTTAAAGCAACAAGTACAGGAACTGCAAAAAGCAATTTTCTATGAGAACCCAATCCATGACCTACCATCCAGTCCTAGAATTGACTGAAAGGAAAATTGACTCTTAATCCCATATGGGTGTTTCCTAAAATATGGGTACCTCTAAATCATCCATTTTAGTAGAATTGTCGCTTATAAACTATCCATTTTGGGTTTCCCATGTGTTATGGAAAGCCCCTTATATCCAGTAAAAAGATGTCAAAAACCACGAAATTTCTGGAGATTTCCCCCAATCTGTCGCCAGGTGATGTAGATCCTGCAGATGTCATTGACCTGAAAGATGTGTCCGTTGCAGCCTTGGAAGAGACTTGGAACGAACTACCTGGGGGGATCCAGGGATCAAAAAGCAAAAAAGCCGATGTATCACCGTTGTTTTGGGCTGCAACTAGGGGGCAATGATATGATGTTGATACATATAATAATCTATTATATAGGCTGTAATTATATACATAATGTTATATTAGATAGATAGATAGATAGATAGTTAGATAGATAGATAGATAGATTTGATTTGATTTGATTTGATTCGATTAGATTAGATGGGATCGGTAGATACGATAGATAGGATAGATAGGATAAATAGGTAGATAGATAGATAGATCGATCGATCGATATATAGATAGATACATAGATACATACATAGATACATACATAGATACATACATAGATACATACATAGATAGATAGATAGATAGATAGACAGATAGGAGTAGATAGATAGATAGATTTGTTTTTGTGTATTGTGTAACTTGTTTTACAGTTTGTACTGAGTGGTTGATAATTTTGACATGTGTCGGATTTCACAGATGTGTTTGCTTCATTCGCTTCCTATCCTTTTGGGGGATGATTTCACTGTCATATTTTGGGGATGGCTAGAAAGCATCAAACAGATGATAGGTCAAATAGAACTGCTTGCAACTGGGGTACACTTTGGGCACGCATCCTATATACGAACTACTTGCTAATGCCAACAATCACCACAGACCCCTCCATTGAAATGAGAAGTCCCCTGCCCAAAGGAATTTGCGATGCCCTTGAAGTTGCTGAGCAAACTGTGATAAGCCGCAACCCAACAAGCTAACTCCAGTAATCAATAAACGAAACATGTATGAATATGTAAGTATTCTCCAGTATATCCCACTGAAATTTAATCTGAAATAGAACGTCGCAGGGTATTTACAATCTTGCAAACAATATCCAAAACATGCTTATAATTCCACATAATGTCTCTGCATCCCACCAAACAGACATTGTCACGGAAACAGCATTACAGCATGATACCGCTTGATTTACAGTAGCCATACCTAGATATACCTAGTGATATTATTATATGTTATAATGTCCCTATGGTGAACTAACATAGCTATGGAAAACCACAATTTTAATGGGCAAATGGTGATTTTCCATAGGTATATGTTAAACAGCCAGAGGGTAAGCCACCATAACTTCAGCCCTTTTTCGTGTCAAAACAGTGGCAAATCTCAGCAATCCCAGGATGATGAAGCTGCCCGAAAGCGCTATTTGGAGAATTTGCCGCCCGGCACAGATTCCGAGATTGGGATGGGTTGACATCAACGACGACCAACAAATCATTGCTTAATTTGCTTCATTAAAATGTTGAATTTGGATTTTGGCCGTTACGGCATTCTTTGCCATTCCTCGGCTAATGTCCAACCCTAGTTGAATCTTCATGGCACAGATGTTGCAAAACCAACAAATTGCAACATCGGCCGAACATGGCCCAACACGGCTCGCCATAGGCCCAACAAACTTAACATGGGCCCAACATAGGCCCAGCATGGGCGAACATGGGCCCAACACGGCCCAACATAGAGCCAAGATGGGCCCGACATACTCCCAACATGAGCCCTACAAATGCCCAACGTAGCTAACAGTCTGGTGGTCTCCCAACCCACAGCTTGTGGCCATTTCCAAGGCCCGGCGCTCGCCGCTCCTGGCGGTCCTTGTGCTGCCGCCGGCGGGCACGGCCCGACCCATGGCTGGTGGCGGCCGCAAGGAGGCCGACCGCGGCTGGGGTGGCTAACAATGGGTGATCTATGGCCATGAATGGATGATTATATGGATCATTCTTGGGAAATCTAAGTCATCATAATATTTTGATGTTACAACAAGAACGGACGCACAATGATTAGATCACAAAGTATTTGTCCATATGACTCTAAATTATTGTAACGAGTAGTGGACCCTATTAGAAACCATCCTTAATATGACCATGGGTTGTGCAAACCATCACCACATGGCAGGTTTACTTTGGGGTTTACTACAGTATATAATCTATCTAATGTTGGTAAAACAATAATAAGCCATCCTCCAAATCATCATAAATAGGTGGTATAAACCATTCCCAAATGGGTAAGTTATGGCATTGTTTTACCCACATTATATGCAGTTCCATGTCAATATAATCGGATGTATGTATATATATATATGGCTGAACTCCAACGACCTTACCGGGATATCACTGTTTTAAAAAAACAGGTTAGCAATGGGGATTTTCATCCCCGACATCGGAGCTACAAGTGCCACAAGACGTTCATTCTTCATCCCTAGTTTCAATGGGTTTAAGGGAAAATCTTCACCGGAAAGCAGGTTTTTTTCCCCATGAAATAAACATGGGGTC